TTCTGTCATAAACAGTGCGCAGATAAACAGTGTCCGCAAATCGGGGTTGACGATAATATGAGAACTTATTGATACCCGGGTCACAGGAAAATGCTCGTTGTCCTTATAAACCGGTGTCTGTGAACGTACATGTATCTTGAGCTTTTGGTTGGGACAAACAAAACTGTCCGAGAGACACGGGTGTCCGTATTAAGCGGTTGTCTTTAGTGGAGGGGGGAGAGGTTCCGCTGTATTTGAGGGTAAATACCGGCATAGAACTGGCAAGCAAAGAGGACTTAACATCTTCTAACTGCTTGTTATAGCGTCAATGTAGGAAAAATGGAAGTAAGGGAGAAGTAAAAATACAATTACAGTGGAATGCGCTTAATACGGCACCAATGGGACTGCCATTACATTACTACCAAGACTTACTATGGGGCGAGACATGGGCCATTCATTCTAAAGTGAGGTAACAGTGCAACCTCGATATAAAGAAGGGCCAAAGGACTGACAAGATTTGTTCTCTATAAAGAGGTTTTGTTTATACAGTGAAACCTCATACAAATTTTCTCTTCAAAAGGGTTTTTGGTTTCGTGATAGAGTACACTTGAATTTCTAAGCTTTTGCTTGACGCAGCATTTACATGATGGCCAAGTGAGCTAGCTATCACGTAGGTCAAAAAAGTCACTTATTTCAGGAAATTTTGCTATCTAAACTGCTCATGTATTAGAAGAAGTATTACTTTAATGTTTATGAGTTTCTCGACGAATAAATTCACGCTTTTGTAGCAAAATTCGGTAACAGATGTTTCTGTTGGTTTCCGTCCGCCATGTTGGAGCTCATCCAGGTGAGCACCAGCATGGCGTCTCCATACAAATCTCTATAAGTTTGGGTAAAACAATTCTTCGGATATCTCGTATACGAAATATTCCTCTGACCTGAATCTTGGCGAGGGTCTTTGTATATACACCTCCTTTCATTTCCCAAATTCTGGACTTTATCTATTGAACGTTTTGACTTTTATTTTGATCTATTTTGAATGGCGTGACACTGAAAACCAGCAATAGAGTTTCGTTGTCTGATCGAGGTTCCACTGTATACTAGCGAAGTTCTTATTTACTTCATTTACTTTATTTTGTGACCAAAATTATTCTTTCAACCATCATTTCCGTCAGGAAGTTGTATCAAGTCACGTGTGAAAAACATTAAAACAATACTCAATAGACTGATCTTTCAACATGTTTCAGATCTCATAAAAGAAACTGTCAGTTTGTTCTCTTTACTAAAAATTGCCAATCGATACGTTATGATTGGAAGGGGCAGACTGCAAGAAGTTTTTGCTGCTGGAAACTGCTGTGGAGATATCGTCATGTCGTTCTAGAACATTCAGATAATGATTTACTCATAATACGAGAATAGTTATTGTCAAGGCAAATTATAATCAAATTCATGATAACGCACATAATGAAAATTGCTTGTTAGTGTTAGCCTACATCCTGACTGACAGGAAGCGATGTGTATTAGATTTTTAAGTACGGACGTCACGATGTATGAACAATTAACGAATGATCCAAAGTAAGTAACAAAGGACACGGCTAATCGTATTTCACTTAGTATAGTTCCATTTACTCCCCAACGACCAAGTTGTGATCGATAATAAGTGTTAAGTGAGGACAAGTTAAATGGATAGCAAACAATCCGTTTTGAGATTAAAACGTTTCAACGTTGGTCCAAATTTTAACTGCAAATATTCAAGTCTATTAAAAGCGTAGGAGTTATACGAAAACAAGTGCAGGTCACTCTGAAAGGTCTTGACCGATAATATCGATAAAAAAGAAAAGCAATACACTTTACCTTCTTTAAATAGGCATTGTGTATCGAAACTGCTGTATCATTTCTAATCAATTTGTTGCCACAGGCGTACGCTCTACGCCTTTTGTTTTGAAAGAATAGAAATAGAGACAAAGACAAGTACCCTAGTTCGCGGGGGAAAAGGAATCACCTGAAAATTAGATAGAGAATCAATGTTTTTTTTTCCTTGAATTTTTTTTCCCAAAAAGATTTTGGAACCAAAAGTTTTTCAAAGGTTAATTAATCAATTTCAAAATCTGCTACATCGAATTTATACATCACACTTAGTCTCGATGTGTGGTTATTCAAATAGGAGACAGTAATGGACCGCTCAAAACAGTGGCGGGGTTGTTCTTAACAAGATAGTTTTCACATTCTGTTGTTCCTGCCGTGAAATTTTGACAATAAATCGCTTGGTCTCCATTGAAAGCTACTTTTTTTTTGTTTTGAACGGTATTTTCCAGTAGTTTCAAAAGGCTTCAATACCATTTCGATTTGTGGGCGGAGAAATCAATTCAAAATCCATAACCATGATATGTGTCTGTTTGTGTAATTCGTATCACGCCCACGTTAATATCAGTTCTGCCGCGGGCAAGGCAGCTAAGAAGTTTTAGTAACGGGGAAAAAATGTAACCGTGACACATGAAACCATCAAATTTAAATGCCTGACTGGCATTTTTCTTAACTGCACCAGAAAGTGGAAAATACTGTGTGAATTTCGTCCACAAACTCAAAAGATTAGCGAGGTAAATAAGAACATTTCAGGAAAAAGCTCTTGACTTATTTCTATTCCAGTCACGGAGTGACGTTGCGCACGGTCAAGGATAAAACCGCAGTAATGTGACGACAAATGCAACATTCCATAAATGAAAAAAAAGAGAGAAAAAAAGAACATTACGAGTATTGCGTTTTGGTGGGTCTCAAGACCTCTAGTAAAAACCATACGATTAAACCACATTTTCAAACTCCGAATTATGTATTCTAAAGACTTGAATCGCGCTTGTGCAGTCACACCTATACCCTAAAAGGGAATAAACTCCATTAAGTCCATTAAAGGCTTTCTCTTGCTTGCGTGTCGACGTTACTGGAAACTGTACATGTGGCCCGATGTTGCCTTCGACGTCACGCTCGTTTTCCCTGACTAATGGACTGCAACATTAGCATGTTTGATAAAACAACTTTAACGCTCTTTATAAAAAGTTAAGGCGTTTGTTGTGACGTCACAAGTTTCTGGTGACAGGTTACATTTGCTCCAAATGAGCCAAGCACCCCTGAGGCGAATAATACTTCCAATAATCTTCGTGGACCGGGAAGACTTCATTGATAAAAGAACTCGCTTCTCCAAAAGTCCGCACTTGGAAGAAACCGTGGCTTACGGAGGGCACGCTTAAGGAGGTTCGACGGCATAACGAAATCCTGATGTCATCTTTTGAAGGATTCGGTGGAGGTAAGAAGCGGTTTCTGGCGCAAGCAATGAGCAGATTCCTAAACTAATGATGAATCCAAGAAACTACAGCATGTTCGGTTGATTGATACAATAATGTACGCAGTGCCCTTGGCAGCACACAACGGCCACCTTGGGGGAAAGACGAAAGTGGCCGTTGTAGAGAGGTTTAAACAAGAGTCAATGTATAGACTGTCCGCCAAAAAAGTGGCCGTTGTTGAAGTAGTTGTTGTAGTAGAAGTTCGACTGTATTTCAAATTCCCAATAGAAATAATGTTTTCCTATTTTGTTTCCTCCGGAGTCAGGACTGCTTTCCGGCTAAACAATATACCGGTATTACGAGGCCCTGCCAGGGGGGTCCCATGTCGCCCGTCTGAATTTTAAAACGTCTCTTGTCGGTGTTTATAAATGCTTGTCGCTTATTGTCGGCTTTGCCGTCACTGTCGCAGTTTGGCTGAGGGAGGTTGTCTCTTGTCGCGACTTCATTTTACGCGCTGTCGCTACTTTTTGGGCCATGTTGCTTGTCGGAATTTACCCTGGCAGGGACAGTCTACTACGGGTGTATCAATAAGAAGGGATTCATTTTGTACTGTATTAACACGTCTCAGTTGGGTGTCAGTGAAATAACTACTTATTTCTGTGTGGAATGGTTCACGCACTTTTGCTAAATTGAGATTACATAACTTACAAAAAACATTATTTGCTTTGTCTAGAAATCAAAATGAAAGGCAGAAATATATAACAAAACACTTGACCTATCCACATTCACTAAAAGCCATCATGCAACAATTTAAACTTTCAAAGGTTATTTACGAAATTAAAACTCGACTTGCGTATAAAAATACTCATACAAATCGATAAAAATATATAGTTATATTAGCTATGACGCGAACATAAATCACTTGTTGATCCATAATTGCTGATCAAGCAGGTTGCTAATTTTTCTCAGAGTTTCTTATTATAAACCACTATACCAGTGACGTCCTTGTCAGCCGTGTGCGAGTTCTAGATCCCTAGCATGCTTTTCGTAAATTCCTGTATTGATTAGCGCTGTTTAAGGAAAGATTGCCTTTCTCAGATTGCCACCCGGCTTTGTTTCCGGCAAAGAGCTGAAATGTATTGTGGACAACGTTTTCGGAAGCGATTAACCTTCGTATTTGCATGATCTCTCTATGTTTTAATTGTGCTCTCATGGACTCTAGCAGAAATCAAGGTTACATTTTGCTAGATTTTTTCCGGAGTTTCTTAAACTACCAGTCTTCATTGTCACTTATGTGCGGGCCTAGAAGTCTTGAATGATTTTCAGAAATTTCTGTATTGAAGCGCTGAATGAGGAAAGTCTGCCTTCTCAAATGGTCGCCCTTGTTTGTCAAAGGGCTCAAATGTATTAAGAACAACGTTTTCTAAAAAGATCAACCTTAGTATTGGCTCTTACCAACTTGCAACAAGGTTACATATTTTCTACCTTTCAGCTTCATCTACAGGATCAAGCTTAGACGGTAGTGTTGATGAGTTTAATGAACAAGGAATACCCAAAGGCTTGGAAAATAGACGAGAAACCCGATTCAAGAACATAGTACACTTGTGGGAATTCCTGCTGGAACTTCTGGCAAATGAAAACTGCCGTTCACTAATAACTTGGAGCAATAAGAGTCGCTGGGAATTTAAGATAAGAGACCCAGACGAAGTGGCAAAAAGATGGGGGCAGTATAAGAGAATAAAGAAGATGACATACGACAAGCTAAGCAGAGCGTTAAGGTATTATTACACGAAAGGAATTATATCAAAGGTACGTTTGGTTGCAAAAAAAGTAGCACTGAATCATGATACCAGGGAGTACTAAATCGGTTGAATATCACTGAAGATCATCACTGTTCTAAATTGTTACCCCAAGTTCAAGTTCATTTATTCACACTTATTAAGTTACAATACAAAAACAATAAGAAAAAAAAGAAGTAAAAACAGAGCTAACTGTACGGCATTGAATTAAACATAACAAAAGAAAAAAGTGCTTCGCAGTCAAAGGAGTCGTGATTTCGAGTTGGCTACTACCTCAGAGCGGTTACAAGTAGGTGGAGTACGCGTTAAACTCTCCATCCGCCATCTTGAACCATGAACGATCCCCAGTCATGCTTGCAGATCTTTGCAGATTTTGCAGATTTTTCGTGGTACAGCAAGAAAGATACTAAATTCGATGTTGAGTATCACAGATTCGGAATATCCTGTAAAAAAGGAGCAGGTTATAATACCAATCCGAATATATTTTTGAGTGCGTAATTTTGTAATCCAAAAAAGGGAGGCTGAACACAGTTTCCCTAGAAATGCTTTATCCCTCTACCGTGCACTTGAAAATCTTTTAATGAGGACACATGCAGCCGACAAGCTTTTAAAGAAAAAAAGTGCGAGGACAAGCTGAGGAAATTGTCCAGAAGTTGTCATTAGAATTGTTTCCTGTTTTCGTCGCCTTTGAGGCGAGCTCGTTTTTCATCCCTCCCCACAAACGCCTGCTCAGCCGGAAACAATATTCCTTTCCCAATGTTTTATTTGCGTGGTAAGTGACCAATAAACAGTTGTGCAATAAAGTGTTGACAGGCTAAACGCGACTAAAACATGACCCTAGAGTTACCATTTTCGTTCTTTTCTTTCCTTCGTTAAGGTTATGAAGTGCATGGAGTATTCTAAAATTTGATGAAATCTTATTTTTGCCGCTCTGAATCTAACATTTATTGGAGGTTAGAAAATTTTTCCAGTGTTTCATGCAGATCGAGTAATTATCAGATTACCTTGCGGTCAAGGTCAACTTTCCAGAATTTGGAAAGTACAATGTGATTGGCTAAGCATGGGAAAGGAATGTTGTCTTCGGTTGAGCAGGCGTTTGTGGGAAGGGATGAAAAACGAGCTCCCCAAAAAACGTTTGCGTGGGAGGCTAGATCTCAACGCGCACAAGTCGATTGGAAGCAATATGAGAGCGCTTGTTTTGTTAACTTTCAAGATAGGCGATGTAAATAAACGACAATCTCTTAAAATCTACACCTTAAAATGTGACGAGATTTGGTAGAAATAATGTTTCTTTCCCTTTCTAATATAATCAATGAAAGCCTCAAAATAATTTTGAACAAAGGAGTTTTGTGACATAATCAAGTTTTCCTAACGGAATGCTACTTTCATAAAAAATTCTAAAACTTTTTAACAATTTGGTTAAGTCGTTTTTGCGTAAACCTCATCAATTTTGGTTTGTTTCAGTTCAATTATCCATGTTGCCTTGGCAACGATAGAAATTTTACGTTCAACCTTTTAAAAGTAATAGATGTATTTTGTCTGTGTCATATTTCAGTGAAATTTATGCTAGCACCGAGTCTTAAAAACACCCCAATGTTTGGTATTAAAATGTTCCACAACGTATCAAACTGTGCTCGGCCACCTGAACATTTTTTTTTACTTTTAGAGTGAGTCATGGTGGTAGTCGTTTTTAAAACTTTTGTCCGGGGCACAAATCCTTCTGTCTTAGAATTCAAATGAAACCGTTCCAACAGTTTCATTTGCATATTAGCACTTCTTGCTTTTTGGATTTACAACTTGATTAAAAAATAAAATGAATCGGTAAAGCTTTTATTATTTGTGTTGAATTGATTTTGGTTATAACAAAAAAAAAAAGCTGAGAGAAAGAGAGACACACGTTGAAAGAAATATTTTGTCGTTAACCCGGCTTTTTCAACAGCCAAGTGCATTAATTAAGTTACTTTTTTACGTCATTCTCGAATACTTGTTTATTCCGATGTACGGTATACAAGGCCATAAAGCAGTGTAAGATCCAGGCCCACTTATTTGGGGTCAAGCAAGTTGAATAAGTAAAGCCTCCGTTATCACTCGGCTTTTATCTTATACTCTTTTTAATAAAATACCTGGACATCTTGATGCTTAGTTCGATATTCATGTGCCTTTGAATGATGTAGATCACTGTAGTTAAGTGTGTCTAAGAGCTTGTGTGCACGCACACCTCACCTTCTACAACGGTTTCTATCACAAAACTGTCCTCGGTGATGTTTCGTAGTGAATGGCACCACAAAATATCAGATTGAGCCTACACTTATCTCCACCCTCAATCTTACTGACGCCGAACTTTTGCCTTGACTGCTGTCTCTATAACGAAGGCTCGGAGACATCACTTTCTTTGCTATACACTATGGTGTACAGATAGGGTTAGCCGACAAAAGTTTATGAATCAAACAAAGTTATGTTATGAATACACACCGATGGGTAATATATTTTTGTTTCTTGAAGGTTCAGAATCAAAGGCTGATGTACAGGTTTCACAAGCTGCCCTACAAATACGAACCAGGCGTAACCCGCTCACGATATCATGGACAAAGAATCAGGGCATGTTTAGGACAAAATGGATCTGGTGTCACGGCGTCAAAGCTTGACAATCATGAGACCAGCACATCATTTGGGGACCTCATTGTAAATATGAATCCTTACATTGTGGATCATCGAGTGAGAGCAGTCTATTCAGCCCCTCCCATGACAGACAATAACTGGCCAAGCGAATTTACTTGCGTTCCCGATCCCGTCGGGCTAAGAAGATTTTCGTGGTCGTTTCCTCAAACACCGACTCCTTCGTATTCCACACTGTGGAATCCATGCCCCGAGCTTCAAACGCCACCATTCTATGGAAGGTCGAAGATCATGTTCCCCAGCGTCAACAATTCTGGGACGCAACCGGTTAAACTAGTTGGACAAAATAATTCAAGTGTTCATAAAGCAGGGACAATAGCATCGTCAATCCCGGTGTCTGTAATCAAACGTACCTAAAAGCCTAAGATGGACTCCGCTTGTTGGTTTGTAACCAACAAGCGGTGATGGTTGACTTTCAACCAATATGGCCACCGTAATGTTAGCTGTAGTCCAGCAATTCAGGTTTCATTTCAAATTTGTTCAAGTGCTACAGTGTTAATCCAAAATGAAGTCAAGGAAAAAATCAGTTTGTAGTTTGTAGATTATGTAAATTAATACATGTAGATAGAAATGATGTAAACTGGAATATTTTGGCATAATATTTAATAATGAGTAATCTATAGGAGTCGATAAACAACGTTTTTCGTTTTTAACAACAAAGTATAACTTTATGGATAGACTTAAAGCCTAATACCAATACCAATCCTAATCTATTATATCACCGACAAGGGCGATTTTAACCGTTTTTACTGTATAAATAATGTTATCGTATCGGTTGCCATATTAGTTACCGGAATCATTGCAATGCTTATCCGAGGATTTATATTCTTACAAATGAATGTTTTTAAGCCCTCAGCCGTTATTTGTACTTACAGTGACGCCCCCCACGGCTTCCGTTCGATTGTCTGTATAATTACCAACCATACATTTATATACTCATTCTTGTATTATTACCTTCCAAACAGAAACCTCTTGATCAAAAAATAAAACACAAACAATGGTGATAAACATTGCGAACTTTGGCAATTGTATAATAGACTTTTCGTATGCTAGTCAACATACATTTTCAAAAGTGATCTAACGTTACCGTTACAGATATGACGAGACTATATATACAAAATTTTGAATAAGGGGACATTGAATATATAGGGGAACGGGGAGTATTTAATAAAAGGGTAAACCATATTTCAGTCAGTGTCCATTAAAATGACCCGCTGTAAACGGCTGTACAACATTTCCAAATACTCTTGTCTGGGATGGTAGTTACAACACCTACCAAGTTGTAAATGGAACAGTTTCACCTCGTTAAAATAACCCAAGCATGTTTATGCAGAATTAATAGAGACACAATGATTTCCCCCTACCCCTGAGAGATATTTAGAGACGACCAACAGCCATGAGAAATCCCCTGTCCCGGGTCCCCTGCATGCTTTTCGATCTAAAGCACCCTCCCCTAGTATTTACGTGTGGGGGGCTGCCGAACAAGTGATCTGAATTAGGGAGGGTGAGGATACTTTTCCCCCCAAGCACTCCTGCCTTCGCCGTCCCTTTTACTTTTTGTTATTACTAGGAGGATCCCTACGCTTTTGTCGGGGGAATTATGCCCCATCTTTCTAGATGTATTAACATACACTACGATCAAATGACATCAAGGTGATTGGTTTTTCATTTTGAAACGTACTAGATTTTTATCCATATACAAACTTCCCAAACTGTGCAAACCGTGGAGACGGCGAGTTTTAGTTTCGATGTACAAGGAGCAATAATTTTGAAAGAATTATCGAAGCAGGAAGTTTTGTTTTTCATTTGAGTATAACGGGTGTCTTTCACACTACTGGCCAGCCAACGAGGCCAGGCACGTCATGCCAAGTGCAGCTCTTAAACTATGAGTTTCGTAATGGTTTGAAACAATAGACCTCTTTTCGGTTCCTCCTATTGCACACCTAACATGGTGTACTCTAGCGAACAGTTCATTAAACTCCATGGAATTCACCGCAGTGACGTTCCTATATATATATATATTAAGCAAAAATATGATACGAAAAAAGGCAGATGCAATTAAGGACGTTACGTAGAGACATTGGGAAAACACACCCAGGAAAAGGAGGTCATAAGCTCTTGATTTTAATATATTTTCTTTAATATCAGGTTTAAATTTCAGCTGAAAATCAAACATTCCGTAGAACGTAATTCATAGAATGTAAATTCTACTGGAATATTTGGAAAACAAGTGAGCAATTCAAAACATACAGATCATGTTCTGAACATTCTACTGCTCAATCATTCACATTGTACCATATCTATATTTGTATTTATTATATTATACTTTCAATTTAAGCATGGCCAAACAAGGAGGGAAGGAAATAGAAGAACATTGTTTGAAAATGTCAATAAATGCGTGACATCCATATTAGGCACGTTTCAAAAGTGTTTTGATACAGCTGATTGCGAAGCGGAACTGAAACCAACACGAACATAAAAGCCCGGAAGTTCTATAAATGGTGTTCCGGCCAATAGTTTTAGTGGAAAAAGGATTAATCGAAAATTAACGACATCCCTTGACTACCATAAAAACATCCTTTATGATTAGCCATCTATATGATAACAATTTGAACTCGTTTAAGTTATGATTTAAATAACACTCAAATTTCACATCACAAAATAAAAACCTTAGTAAATTAAGTCATATTCGAGCTCCAGTTTGCCTTTTTTTCTCTGAGTATTTTTGCCCTTAAGTTTTCACTAATAATTATATATACTCAAAACTTAATCGTTTTCTGTTTTTATCTTTTTTGCACTGTGTAATTTGAGCATTACACAGTCAGTTAATAAAGGGTTGGACAATATTCAAGACTGGAAGGAAGCGTAAAGCTAAGCTTTCAGAACAACTCTTCGATGGGAAGTACGATGCGGTTAACGGGAAGAGGTCTCCGATTTTAAGTTAACGGAACTTTATAGGAGTTCTGTTAATACGACAAAAAACCGGAATATTAAGTTTAACCTTTAAACTTTTATCGCGTCTAAATACACGACGAGACTCCTTCGCTTAGTCACCGCCAAGAAGCAACTAATTAAAAGATTAAACTGAAGAAAATAGGGCTATACAGTCGTTTTATTGTGAGAATATTGGTTGTGAACGTTTTTTGACAGTCAAAGATCATTAAGGGCAACTGATTGCTTTAATTTCATAAACAAGTTACAAGCATTCAAAGTGTTCCATGATGGTTATGATATCCTAAACTAAATTGATACTGATAATGATCCTCTCCCCCTCGATTCTGTATTTTTCCAAACACGACTTATGCACATTGATCGTCAGGAAATTTTCACTACTTCATTTCTGTTTTGGTTTCTGGAATTTAGTAAGCTGTAGTAAACTTGTCCATCAGCAATGCGGAACTTTTTGGTTTTTTAATTCAGGGGTTAAGTTTGCAGCCTGGGTTTTCATTGTTTAACCCTGAACTCGGCAAAAATTGTGAAACTTTGCCAACTCGCTCTCCATCTTTCTAACGGGCAATAAATTTTAAAAGTATAAACGAAAACGAAACAGCCAGCACCACGCCATTTTTTGATAATATCGTCAAGTATGTGATGTGAAAGAGTGAAAAGCAAAACATGTGAGAATATATGGGATCACCATTTAAGAGAGTTCCTTAACCCAAACAATATTGCCTTTTGAAAATTCTTTCTGTCGATACAGGTAAGAAATGATCGTTCAGTAAAGCGAAGTAGTGGACTGTTTGATGGAATGTAGGGAGATTGTACAAGGATGTATCTTTAAGTAAACCGATGAATCGCAGTTTACTTTTTAACAAACTCTACATATTAAATTTCCGGGTAGCTAACATCCACAAACTACATTCATCTCTCTTTGAGGCTGGCACTACTCAGGGATCAGGGCACTGAGTGTCTGCATATAGTGAGAGACTCCATTCATCAATATTGGGAGAAGTTCTAGTCTCGGTAAAATCAGAACATAATCAGGACAAAAGATTATGACATCAATGTTATGATCCCCTGAGTGAAATTACATTGATCTTTAAATAAATCTCTCAAGCATATAGTTAAGGAAATTTATGGAGACTAGAAAAGATAATTTTTTTGTGGACTTCGGGCTAAATGGGTTAACGAAAATGAGTTACACACTGGGAATGGCAGGACTAAGTCGTTTTAGGACTCTTAAGCCGAGTTAAGGTTACGTGGCAGAGATGACTAAATCTAACTTTCAAACTTTTAAACGAAATTATGTGGTTCAGTAGCATTCACATCAGTGAAAACTGTTTGGGACAACTTGTACAAAGTACTATTTAATGTTTATCTCTTAGTATTTTTCTTTTTTTTTTAAAAAAAAAAAGGGCCGCTGAAAGAAGTTGTAGCGTTTAGTGCGTTTATAGGCTAAATCCGTTCAAGTGAAAACTAAAAAAAAAAGCGAGTTCCTGCGGTTCAATTGTGCTCGTGTTCCAATAAAATAAATGCAGTATCAAGCAGTTTATCAATATACACAGGAACACAGCTGAAGAACGTTCACATCACGCGACTTCCTGTTCCCATTCACTCAAAGTGTAAAACTTGCTGAGCAGCTGATTTGACTCCAGCTCAGAACGCTATCGACAGAGGAACGGACGACATGCCAAAAACAGGTCCTTTTACCAAAGCTAATGAATTTAAAGGTATGAGTTTTGTTTTAAGCTGTTTGCAGTTAAGTTCTGAAAACGGAATCGAATATAATCCCATATGGGTTTCATGAATTGGGTAACTAACTAAACGTCGTTCGTTCACTATGACCTGTAGAGGGGCTCGGCAAAGTCGTTATTTTAGCTTCTTTTCTTTATTTTTCGGAGTTAGTTAACATCTTTAAATCACAAATTGCGAGGCAAAGTATTTTCGAGAGACTCCCAGCCGCCTAACAACCTTAGCTAACAACTTATTTTCTTCAGATAGAGATAAACTAGAAATTAAAAATTCGGAGGGCATTTGTTAGCTTTACCCAAATGCAATCCCTTTTAATCTTACCATGTTTAGCCCATCCATGACCACTTTAAGATTTTCCATATTCATGTTTGGTTCTTCTGTAGTTTGAAGATGTTATTTCAGTTGATACAGTGTATTACTGGTAATCTGATAATGACCAGTTGGTAAATCTTTAAATTGACATAATTGTAAACTGCAAACATTGCTAATTAAACATGACCAATTAGCACCTTTAACCTTTCAGGCTTAAACAAATACATACTAAAGATTTATTGCGTCTGTGGTAATAATGATGATATAACCGTGAAACCTTCTCTTGATATAGCCAGTTGAAGTACATCAGCGTCTTACAGTACATTTGGTGCCAATGTGGCAGTTTAATTTATAAAACGCACATTAGAGAAACTTTTCGAATCGAATGCAATGTATTACTTTGACTAGCTTCGATTCTAGATGCCAGTTGAAACCGTCAGTAGAGAGATATTTTTAAACCTTTATTCGCAGATGGATGATTTAGTGTTGATTTTGAGTCGTGGACGAAATATTCTGGGTGTGGTGTGTCTGAAACCAAGGTATTATACATTGTTAATGTGATTGTCTGAAAACCCAGACACTTCATCATGCTACATTGTTGTAACGATGTTGTTAAGAGTCTAAACTCGTTACAACCGTGACTTGTTCGGAACATTGTCATCACGTTCTATTTGGTTTTCTAATGACCCGATTGTTTAACTCACAATCTGAATTGTTGTGAGAATATTGTTGGATGTTAAATTTGATAAAATTTAGTTAATACGTAATTTTGTTCTCGAAATGTTAAAGCAGTTTGCACTCATTTAAGAGCAGCGTAACCCTGGATGATAAACATGTTCATTGATTCTTGTTAGTCTGACGGACATTTTGTGATTACTTCTTCCAACATCACACTCAGATCTCTCAGCATTCTCTTAGTTATCAAATGTCCTGTGGAGAACTGTGAATCGTACTCTTAACATAGGCTTTCAACAAATATAATGAGATTGTAGAGACACATTCTTAACGCCGATTGTTTACCTTCGGCGTGAATTACAAATACAATGATCTTTATTTATAGTGCCAGGTCAAGCGTAGCCCCTTGCATGGATTCGGTTATTGCGCTCATCATTTGAAACTTAAATCTGTTACTTTAGTTGCCAATATCAGATATATTACTTGACTTTCAGTTGCGTATGTCACTGGTGAGCTTCGAATTCTGACACGCGAGGAAGCTAAGAAAAGAAGGGTGAAAATATGACATTTATACGAGCCTAAAGAAGATAATAAAATTGAATTATCAATTCATATGAAAATTACAAAAAATCTTTTGTTGAACCTGAAAAAAAATTTTTGACTTAAGTTGAAAACAACTTTTTTCATGATTCACTTTAGCCTCCATTTTCACGCATTGATAATTTGAGCTTTTAAGACCGGAGATTGTTCGTCGGTGATTTGTTTATCTGTTAATGGTATCACTTCCCTTTTGCCAAGCCCTTTCAGTTTCGGTTTATTTACTGTACGGCAAAAGTTACAAAACTTCAAGGAGGCTTGACATATTTCGGTTTCGCATAGTGTACACGTGCTTTTTGTTTCTGACCTTCCCCTTGCAATTGCCTTTAATTGACAGACGCAAGATGTTGTTATATAGTGCATATTTTTGTTTAGCTTGTTTTGTGTGGTACACACACACACACATTTTGGCGCAGTACTCAAAGCAGCAGAAATACATTTTAGACTCAAATTGTTAGATGTCCGTAGCAGGTTGTTTGCCTAAACTTGAATTTTTGGAATAAAAATTCAAGATGGCGGTTGCCTTAAATGACGTCACAGGTCCTAAGGAGCGCCATTTCGCCATAATATTAAGACATTTTGCGGAATAATCTGCATCTTTTGCATTGCTTACAAATCACCGGTCAAATGACAAAGAATTGCACCACCCTTGAAATCGATAGTTTTTGTCACAGATAATCACAGAGCGGCTTTAAATCATGTTAAATCAGTGGAGCTTTAGTTTTGGTTGAATGTGACCTACAAGGTATTTAGGCACTTGCAGGAACACTAAACGAATTCAGTTTTAGTAAAGGATGTATTCTTAAAGTTTAACTTAAACCTGTTATGAAAATGATAATTTGCAACAATAACTCAGGGATTCCCTTTCAGGCCATTACGGTCTGGCACTTTCAAATTTTAAATTAATGTTCAGTTAAATAAAGTATCTTAAACAATCCTCTAGAATAAAATCCATTTCATTGATAGATTACATTGAAATCTTTTAAATAAATGGAATCTGTTGAAAACTATAGCTTCCCACGCAGACCTTTTGGCCCTTCGTGCAATCTCGATGATAACCTACGTGGGAGACTAAGTGAAAGAAGTCTCCTTTAGTAATCACAATTATCAAAAGATCAAATATTTGAGAATTAAACCTTTTTAATACACGTCCGGTCCAGAGCTTGTTTCAGTCTGAATCCGGTACTTTACAACATGACCCGGAAAACTCTGCATAACTGAAGATTTAAACTGAGAATTTATCATCTTCTTTAACTCGGGATAAGTAAGTCTCTAACATGGAACCATATCAAGCATTTTCTGATCCAGTTAACACTACCAGACCACGCCTTTTGCTACCGATACAGTAATTTGTGCAAAATATTAATGTGGAATAATAGCGTGATTTATAATCGAATCAATAAGCGTTTTTAGAGATTAAGGAAATCCCGAATGCTCCCGGGCGACAGGAGAAAGCAACTGTCCAAAGAGTTATCTTTTTTTTTCCCCAAAACTCGATATTTAGTTTTCATAGATGATATCATATTTACCGGATGCGGTTAAAAGGAATGTTTCGAGAAAGAGAGAACAACCTGGGCAAAATGAAACAGCAACTGATCGTCGGTTTTCACCCACTCACGACAGTGTGATTGGGATTCTGCGGAGTGAAGTAACATTCAATTGGATTTTGAACAACGAGTGTCATGTTTTTATATCACAGTGAATTTCAAGGTATGATCTATCTACAGTTTTAAACTGCCCTTAACTTTCTGTAGGTAAAAACTTTCTTACTCTTTGATAGTCTTAGGAGAGACAGGAATTGCCTTGTTAATAAGGTACACTTTTAGTGGTTTCTCTCTCTAGTAACTGTGATTTCTTGCACAGGCTAAAACGGAAATATTTGGATTTACCTTTGAAAGATCCATAACAAAACTTTTGTTAATGGACAGTAAAGTGTGAAAATTCAACAAACATCAGATAAGTACAGTAATTTCCTATGTGTGTAAATTGGGTGAACCGATTAAATTGAGAACTGCGTAAAATCCACATGAAAATATCAAAACGTTTGACGGCACCGTGTGAAAATTCCACAAACAGATATCTGCAGTAATTTCTCGTGCGATTGTGTTTACTAATCAATAATAACATTTCCCTTCTTAGTCTTAGATGACCTTGGGTCTCTAACTTGATGAACTATACATTTAGTCTGAATAAGACAAGATGTTTCATTCTGCCAGTTTGTGTACAGCTGTTGTGTATAAACCGGCCGGAGCCAAAGATTTGACTACGAGCACGCCGTACCAGTATAGAACCATGCACGTATCAGTAGGAGCGAGGGTTGTTACACTTGGAATCTTCAGTCAGTTGTATCCCCAGATATCTCAACCTCTTAGCAGTTAAAGAGACGTTAGGAATAAGATTCTTGTCATTATTATCTGGGGCTCACGAACCTTGTTTAAAATTGATTCACCCTTCTACTAAATAAATCTCGCATACATGTTGTCCAATATATAAAGATACTATTGACTCTCATACCAAGGAAAGTTGATGATCTACAATTTAATGTTACTCATGTGTGTTGTAGTAAATTCTCTTTCTTGCCGCTTAGTTTCAGTTTCATTTTAAAAGGAGCACGTACATGTTACTTCAAATAAATTGCGCTTCGTCATCGTAATATCAATACGTAAAATATACTGCCTACAAAATGCAACCAAAAGTAAGCAAATGTGTGAATCGGGTTTGGAAGCAGGCTGCATACCCTATACCACCAATGCGACCAGAAGAAAAAAGGGGTGAGTTTTTAAGAAATCATTCTACAACTACTTTGACTTCACAGAATTACTGAACGAGTTATTTACCCTCCTTTCTTGAAAAACTTGCATATTGCCCTGAGTGAGCGAATAATGCATAACCTAACTGACAAACAAAATAATCCTTTAGAATTTGCAGTTCTGTTCAAGAATTAAAAAAATTCAAATCAACTTCTCATTATTAAGAGGGATATCTATCTTAAAAAACTTGTAAAATAAATAATAACTTGTTAGCATATTTTCCTGAGTTAAAATAACTCATAGCATGACTCACCAACAATTTGCCATTCTGCGAATCAAATTTTCGATCCAGTTCTCATTGTTTCCCGTGGCGGATAGATTTAGTAAACGTTTCCCCGAAAAACTCCTTCTTCTCGTACGGTTCTGAAGAGTGGAAGCTTCCTTTTACCGCTTGTAGCGGAACCCTGAAGGACAGTACAGAGACCTTTTGAACAGCCTACTGCAGTTCAACAGTTTATTTGCATATTAAGTTTGTCATTTGGGTTGTTTTTGTTCTGAATTTTGAAAAAAACATGCACGTTTTTCGAGAACAATGCATCAACCTATAACAGCACTGAGAATATAATACTCTGGGGATGAACGTCTTCACGCTGTTCAAAACACGCACAGCACCCATTTTAACAAGTTCAAAAATTCGAGCACGAATATTTTAAACATCATGTTATGCTCAATTCAAAATATCAAAACATTTACAGTTGTGTAGGACTTTCGTTAATGGCATTTTCAATTTTGATATTACAGAAATTCCCTCAGGTCAATTCGTTGTGTATTCGCTCGCTGGGATAAACAATGAGTTAACGCGACTCCTGAGCCACCGTCATCGAGCTTATACTTTGCTTATTTGCAAAACGAACATTAAGGGCCTGTTTACATGGAGGTGGGGGAGGGGGGGGGGCAGATAGGTGAGGTACAATTTGGCGGGTCACCCCACCTATCATGTAAACGTGATCAAGTTAAAATGACAAATTATATGGACAGGCGGGTTACCTCACCTAACTGGGGTCCCCCAGCTCCATGTAAACAAGCCCTAAGTTATAGCGAAGTGGAAAATTATTTTAATAAATTTTAACACGTAATGAGAACGTGTTCTGAACACTCTAAATAGCAAGTGAAAGAAAAGGATGGTCAAAGAAACGAATAGACCTCCAGGGGCGTAGCTAGGGGGGTCCTGGGGTTCCCGTGACCCCCCTTGGTAGGCCTTCTTTTGAGCAAACAACCTACAATATTCAGGTGGCGAAAACGCCATGACAATATCTTGGCCGTAAAAGCCATTGTTGAAAAGCCCACTTTTTTAAAATTTGTTTTTTTGTGAAGTATTTTCGTCAACGGCTCTTGTCTTTAGTTAATATGGGCCTTCATGCCGCGATAATACGACTGAGCCCGCTGATACACGAGGGAGAGCAGCGGTATAAACCATATATAGTCGGCGATCCCCGGATGGTGATCTGGTGAGTAGCCTCTGTGACCCCCCCTTTGAAAAATCCTGGCTACGCCCCTGACCTCTTTAGCTTACAAGTATGTTTTGTTTTCCCAGGGGAACTTAACCCTTTGTCTTCTCATAATTTACGCGCAGATATGCAGGCGAATAAGACTAAATTTGAAAGGAACAGTTCTCTTGGAGTATTATCACACGACCTGTATTGGGAAAATAAAACATACAAGTTAAAGAGGTCTGTTGACCCTTAAGGTTGGTGAGCTGTGACTGGGATGTTTGCTGTGATTGATTCATAAGAGACACGCGAGCGAACGATCGAATGGTTGAGACTTTCGTAAATAAAAAGATGGTTTTTTTACCTGGGACAAATAAGTAGGTACAAATATATCTTCAAATGACTTAAAATTGGTACGAGTGCGACGTCGCCGACGGAATTTCCGAACTCTTGTTGTCTCTTAGAAATCCCGGTTACCTCTTTGGCCTACTCCCCCTTTGGCTTATCAACTCCCTGTTGGTCACGAGAAGGCAGATAGATAAAATGTTGAGAGCCAAGATTGATTTGAAAAGTACCCGTATTTTTAGTCCAAAACCTTTCAGTTTCGAATCCTTAAGATCAGGGAAAGTGACGACAGCGACTGAAGGTCTTTTAAAAAGTGAATTCGCGATTATTCCGACGTATTCCACAGCCGACTCACTTTGTCAAATGAAGACGAACTTTCCTGCCAAGTTGAATTCCTACGAACCATATCCAATTCAAGTTCTGAGAGAGAGAAAGTTTTGTCTGCGCTTCTGTACGTCCTCCATAAAGCGTGAACTCTGGGCACTTTACGTCGTGGTCGTGCAGTGACGGCAAGGAAATGTACAAACAAGCGCAATGCACATGCAGAGATGTTGTTTTGCTTATTAAAAATATTGAGCGTTTTCACTCACGTTGCCAACAGCTACGCCAATTTGTTACCACAAAAGAAAGCTTTTACTTAAAAGGAAAAAAAGTTCAACTCCCACGACCAATACTGGTTTGGGACACAAACATGGCGGATGTGCGTGGCGGACGTGCGTGCAAAGGCTCTATTGTTTTTGTTATTTCAGCGTTGTCATAGGGCGTTAAGGTCCCTATAACGGGCTTATCTCCGGTGTAATGTTATTTGTTACTCACAGCTGAAACAAAACAAAGAACACAAAACATCCTTAACAATGGACCTAACCCTGACAATTCTTATAGTCCATAAAACAAAGAAAACGAATAACTTTCGAGTGAAATAGGTATCCTCAATAAAGATTATACTATTATCGTTATAATTAGTAGTATTAGTATTAGTCAGTTAGTATTAGTATCATTATCCTTCTTAAACACAGCTTCTACGAATGCCTTTCTTTCCTTAAACATCAATTCACCGCCCGTGACCTTAGGTGTCTAAGACTAAGCGAAGGTTCTATTTCGATGATTCTAAACGACATGTGACACCAATCTCTGCTGCTAACTACTTTTCTATGTCGTTCGAGACAGTTCCTAATGCACCAATAGGCCACTTGCACAATGGCGTCATTTTACTACTACGACCAGAATCCTTTACGTTTTTCCTTTCATATTTAAATTTGTAATCTCAGCGAGGATTAAATCACAAAAGAGCCATTGTCTTTCTCTCGGGTGTCAAGTGGACACTGCAACATCAATAATCAGCCACTTCTGTTCTATCTCATCCAATACCACAACTTTAGGCTTGTCGGAGTTCAATCTTGTTGACAGTCTGTATTTTGAAGTCCCACAGCTTGTTGTTAGTGGATTCATACACTTGTTGTGGCTCTTGGTTGCAATAGTTTTCATCCCTGTCATAGGCCAGCTTTCCACATTATTATTATTATTATTATTATTATTATTATTATTATAATCATCATTTGCGCTCTTATAATATAGTTGATCGCCAGCATATGGAGGCGTCAGATGGACCAACAGGACAAGGTTCAGACAGCAGCCCAGTTACTCATTACAAGAATATAGTCCACTTGTGGGAATTCTTGCTGGAGCTTCTAGCTGATGACAGCTGCCGTTCAATCATAACTTGGAGCAACGAAAATCGTATGGAATTCAAAATAAAAGTTCCTGATGAGGTGGCCAAAAGATGGGGGCAATTCAAGAGGACGCGGACCATGACGTATGACAAACTAAGCAGGGCTCTGAGATTTTACTATAGTAAAGGAATCATTCAAAAGGTGAGTTCAATAGAACCCTCCATTGCGACCACACCCAATGATATGCCAAGGTTTTTTAGATTTCAAATGTATGTAGTATTATGATAGTGGAAATGTTCCTAGCAGTTGAACAAACAGCCTAAGCAGTTGAAAAAAAAAGTTCACCGGGATATTGAACCTGAACCTTTGCGATGGTCGGACGCAACGCTCTATCCATTAAGCTAATCAAGCCAACTGGAGAGCAGGCCATTGTGAGTTCGTCAGGGGCACCGAACGTCAATTTTCGTAAAATATCTGTTCGGAAGACGATTTGAGATCTAGAATTTTCGGAACATTTGTTGTAAAATTTCTTGCTTTCCTGCCTCTCCTAGGATTTTCGAACATTTAAAAAATGGTATAACTGTCTATTTTAAACAGATTTTTACCCTGAAAAGGTCACCTAGAATTTCCGGGAGCCTTTCTCCTCGCTGAAATTTTCGAAAAGGTGAGCTTTCATCCCTTCTATTTTCGGATCAGATTTCAGCTATAGGAAGTGATTTTTAGGGGATAAAAATAAGCCTACATCTAAATCTATCTATATTTGAATACTAAAATGTGTTTAACAATGCTATGTTTAAGTGGTTTTGAACTATATTCTCGTTGGGTGCCACTGGTTTGTAATATACCCGATGGTGGAAATGAAATGGCTGGAAATATTTGCGACGATCATTTCCACTTTCATGCCTTTATCTGCAGTTCAAAATATAAGTCACCTAATATACTTCGATTAATGTGTGAAGTAATGTTACTGGGAAAACTGAATTATTCTGGTACTGAGTTTGAATAGGTGGTCGATCGTTTTTCCAGCTTCATTGCGATACGATAATAACTTACAATAGTCTCCGTCGCAACTAGCGCAGGAGCGTGTAATTCACGCGCCACAACCCACTAAAAAACTTCAATTTTACACCAGCCATTTACATGAGGAGCGGTTAAAGGTGAGTTGGTCACTCAGGAAAGTTCGTGTGCTGTAATGTCATGGATTAGTGGACAACAAGACGCGCCCTCTTTACATTATATATGTAACATTTCAACAGTCAACTCGGACGTCAGCACTCAATGGCGCCAGTGGCAGCCTCTATCTGTTCATTTATGAGCTTTCTGTAACCCACCCACAGCCCATGATATGAATGATGCGTGAAAGGTAGACCACATCACCGGGGAAACTTCCCCCAGTCTTTTCGAACAGCAGTGTGCGCTCTTTTACGTCCCCTTCGATTTGACTAATGAAAGAAGGATGAAGGAGACAAGGCCAACGGCTTAACGTCATCGCCCATGCAATGACGCAGTGGACAGTGCCATCTTTCGCGTGAGTTATAGGACCATGGCATCTAACTATCTTTTTGCATTTCCTATCTTAGGTTCCAAAACAAAGGTTGGTTTACAGGTTTCATAAACTGCCTTACAAATACGAACCAGGCGTGACCCGTTGGCGACCTCATGGACAGAGAATCAAGGCTTGCATCACACAGAACGAGTCTAGCGTGACGGCTACAGAGTACGGTGGCCATGGAATCAATTCATACATTGGGCAGCGTGGAGCCGGGATAAATCTATTTATTGGGCAGCGACAAGCGTTGCAGAAAGAAAAGCCAATTACCCCTCCCCTCATGGGGCATGACTGGTCTTCTGCTTTTACTCCCGTCATCACCCCATTCAGAAGAAGCCGGGCTGCCTCGTCGTTTCTGCCCACATCTACGACTCTGCATCCCGCATTGCCTTGTCATGACCCAATGTTTAACACAACATCTGGTTTTCAACTCAGATCAAGGATCATATTTCCTGATGACATCCATCCTGGGTTTAGGCCGGTTAAACAAGTTAAACCTGTTGGCCATGATATGCAAGTGAGAAGCACTACGGCATCGTCAATACCTGTCTCCGTTATTCAGCGCATTTAAGCCTTCAATCCCCCAGAGGTAGTCAACAAAGGTTTATACGAGGAGGCTCCGACTCCCGGGGGGTACTCGATATATCCTTGGGTGGGGAGGTGCAGCCCGACCCCTTATACCCTGATCCTGTTTAAGACAAAAATCGTTGATTTTCCTACCCTGTTTAAGTCAGAATTCCGATTTTTGATACCCTGTTTAAGACATTCGTAGAACATACGCGCAGGCTGTTTATCGTCCAAGAAAAGATACCCTGTTTAAGACAAAAACTGATACAATCGATACCCTGATTAAGACAAAAATAATAAAATCGATACCCTGTTTAAGACAAAAATCCCGAAAAACATACCCTGGCTGGCCGCACGTCCCCATTAAGTCCTTATAAGGGAGTATCCCCCCTGGGCTCCGACCCGAGGTCCAACCTCTTACCCTTTTATATAGCATTATTGGCGAAGAAGGTACTCCTTTCATACTGACTTTCTATTGAAAAATGTCACCCTTTTCACTCTTTTCGCTACCTAGTTCACAGGGTTCAGAGGAGTGTCGTGTGATTAAATGAATTACTTATTTCTCAAATTGAAAAATGTCTATACTTGTCGCTTAGCACGATTAATTAACCCAATGGAATCTTTCTAAATCTACTGTAGACGATTTCTTCGCTTCTTATCTGACCCAAATAGACTTTGTTGTTCGCCTGTAAGCTGATCTTGTGAGCCCTCAGTCTCTTCAGTGGTTTCCGGTATACAGAATGCGCAGCGAAAATGTAACGCGATCAAAATAACCCATTTTTTCTGAGGTTTTCGACGGGTTCTGATGTTCTAACGACAAACACATCTCCTCTGGACCCTGTGCCTAGTTGAGAACTCTGAATCCGTTTTAACTGCTCTAATTGCACTGCCTTGAACGTTTTCATTCTTGACTTTTTTACACACAAAAAATGCACCTGTTAACCCTCCTAGAAATCTTGGACAGGAATGCGCTCTCGAGACAGTATTTTTGCGTTACATTGCGTCACAAAAGGCCACAATGTTTATAGGCTTTTGTGGGAGAAAAGATTTAAAATAAATCCTACCTCATTAACTGAATGAAAAATCCATATTGTTCACTGCGATTCTGCTAGCAATCGAGGAAACCTAAAAGTATTGCAAAGAATTGAACCTCTCCGAGTCGTAATCGATGCGTTATTCATCTTTGAAGATCCGAAGAATTTTTCCATGAGGACAGTATGGCGGAATGCTCAAACCAGTAAATCCAGCTTTCGATGAATGCCTCCCGGCTCGTAGCCTGCGAACCGCAGACGTATTTCCTGTCGTCGCTTCTCTCCCTCCGAAAATTAATTGATTAATAATTTTCGGAGGGAGAGAAGCGACGACCGGAAATACGTCTGCGGTTCGCAGGCTACCCGGCTCGCGCCGTAACGTAAACTGAAATCTGTTCACTGCGATTTTGAATCTATTGAAGCAAAGCTTTAGAAAACAGTACAGGACATCTCTCTGCAATCCGTTGCTGATGCGTTTTCTTGTGGTCCAGAACAACCCAAAATAGACCAATCCATTCTGGGCTAAACCTTAAGATCTTCACTGTGCCATATCTTGGCTAAAATTCATCCAAATTTCCCCCAAAACCACTGGTTGAAAAGCTTCACGGACAGTTTATGGCCGCCATTTTTGGGGGAGCAATACTTTCAGTCAGCGGCTACAGTTAGACCACAGACATCTCTGAATTTCTCTACTCAATGTGTCCTAAACCTATGAGCCCGAAAACACGCAAAAATCCAGCGGAGTTGTCCATTGCGTGACCGACTAAATGTAAATCACACGAAATTCGATGTCCGAGATTTCTAGCCATGAAAGAACTCACGTGATGTAACACTTTCCTAGTTTCTACCGACCGAAATGACAGATTTCCCTACCCTTTCATATACCTGAGGCCTGAAAAAAGGTACCCCTTTCGGGCGGAGCCTCCCCGTATAGGCCATCATAGGGAGTACGCTGGGGCTTCAAACACTGGCCAAGCTCATTAGCGAGTCTTCCTATCAACTTTGATGATTTTGTTTCAGTCGTTATACGTGTACGTCGCTTAACATTACCTTCGCATTAATTTCGTCGACCTTAGCCAGGAACTTTATGACTACGATGAAATTGTGGGAGTTTACTCCCTTCGCCTTATGACTAAGCCTTCTGCTTGTAGTGAACAGTGAACAATTAGAAAAAAGTAAAAATAATGAACATTGTAAATAGTTTGAACCCACCGAAGTCATATAATAACGAGGTTGAATATAACCATACAGGCTAATGTATGATCATGAATAGCTATTGCAAGTTTCCTTGCTTTTTGGTCTCTGGTCTATAGAAAGTAAACTACTTTTCACTGAAATGGATGACAGGACTTGACGAACTACGGGTCATTTCGCTGTTTAAAAGTAATTAGAATTACTTTTTCACGTTACCGTAGGGCGGTATAAGAGCGCAAAGCTCGTGTTAAAAGCTTTGAATATATTATAATCTCTTTGAGTTGCCCTGATGAAGACTTTTAATAAAGACAAAAGATCGACAACAGTCGTTTTTGTCCTGTTTTTTGAGGTTTTATAATCTATTTAAGATACTACTACTACTCTGGAAGCATTGCTCAAATTCTTGTTATCTTTTTTAATCACAAAAAATGGTATATAAAAGGGTAAGAGGTTGGACTCGGGGCGGAGCCTTCCCGTATAGACATTTGTTGAGTACCCCCGCCCCCACTGCGTGTCAATACAAAACTCCTAAGCGTTTGTTTCTTGACTTTTGACGAGTTTTGCAGCACGAAATTACCATTTATTTATCATGCAACCATTTTTTGGCCCGAGATCAGTGTTACAGGCAAATTTAAGCTGCTTATTGTAACATTCATGGGACCTTGGTGCCAAAGAAAGTGACACTGGACTAATAAACACACGCGCATAATTAGCTTAGTTACCAAGGTGGATAACATCCTCCTCGATCTGCATAATTTTTCACCTCCTACTCAGCCTCACTCAATAACATATTGCTAAAAGCCACTACAAGGAGACGATGTTTCAACTTGTATCCATACAAAAAGAACTGATATATTCAGATGAGAAGGAGCACTTCATTTACGGAGAAGCAACACTCGGTAGAAAACGAGAAGCGGTATTTTTGCATATGTCAAACATCAAGAAGTGTTAACCAAGATCTATCGTCAATGCAAAGAAGAAAGAATCAAAATTTTAAGAAACGATAACTACAATCAATAAGCTAAAACAAATATTTATACAAACTTGTACAATACATGGTTAATTCATGCAAATAATGTTACCTATTTTGTTATATAACCTATTACGTAATGCTAAAGATCCTTCAAATCGCCTATAAAAAACATATGACAAGATTAAGGTTATCCACTGATAAAACCTATTTTGGCAACGAGAATTCATTGTCTTTCTCAGCATTAGAACATCGATAGAATAAATTTTACAATGTTTTTTTTCTTTATGTGGTCTTTCTTGTAAAAGATTTTTTCTTATTTGCCCAGTTGGGGGTCTAACATTTTTGAACCAGTGTATTGCATGAAACAGACTTTAAAAACTATATGTATATTGTTTGTAAACCATAGTTAACGACTTTACTTCACAATAAAAGTTTTCAATTTTCAGTAAGGTCAACAATTTTGGAGTTGAGGATGATAAGCGCAGCATGATACAGTCGACTCTTAATATAACGGACACCTCTATTAGACGGACACCTCTGTAAAACGGACACTTAGAGTTGGTCCCTGCCTTTCTTTACTCCCTTTATTTGACTCTCTATAAGACGGACACCTCTCTAAGACGGACACTTAGTGCCGGTCCCAAAGGTGTCCGTCTTAGAGAGAGTTGACTGTAATTGCGTTTAACTATAAATGATTATGATGATGATGATGAAGACAATGATAATGATGAGGATGATGATGATGATGATAATGGTGATGATGATGGTGATAATAATGATGGTGGTGGTGGTGGTGGTAATGGTGGTCTTAATGAAGATAATTATGACAATGATAATGATAATGACAAAGATAGACTGTTCACAGTCCTCTATTTTTCCGTAATATGGTCGAGATCGAGGGCTTTGCGTTACCGGCTGCCATCTTGCATGAGAGTTAAAACTATTTGAAAATCAAGATGCACACCATTAATGATAAGACGCGCTATATCTCGATGATAAGGGACTGTGAACAGTCTATGACAAAGACAATGATGATGATTATGATGATCACGATGATGAGCCTACTGAAGATAACAATTAATTAAAGGTAAATAGCTGTGTATAAACTCTGCTCTAGTACATGTAGCTATAGTCATCGTGTTAGTAAAACGACTTAAATTTTTAGTCCCCCTCCAACGGACACCCTTGGTCAAAGCTCAGCGCCGTGATTGATGTTGCCATTTGTCTTGGAAGATTCTCCAGCCTAAAAAGAAGTAGTTAACATTTGGTAAGAACAGTAGAAGTAAACACATATACAATACTACTAAACGAATGAATTAGTGTAGGTAACAGCTTGATTTGTAGTGATATTTGACATAAATACTACGAGTGATATTTCAAAATTGTTATACGCAAGTCTGTGCCCACCACCACCACCATACCAACGTTCGTCTGTAAAATTTCGCGACTTTGAGGAGCTATATCTTTGTTAGTTTTCCACAAATCAATGCATGTACTAGTTTAACGACGCTCTTTCCAGTAGAGTTGTATTCGGATTTTCCCCAACTTGTCCATGTCAAAAGTTGAAAAAAAAAAGTTGTGCAGGAGCTGCTCGTAAGGTCTCTCCTGATTGGTCGCAGAAAACAATGACATGTCATTCTATTAATTGTTTTAGTTTTGTTTGGGGTCAGGGTTACGCACATTGGTGAATTCTCTTCCGAGCAGCTTCTACATGACCCGAAAAAAACCGTGGACGGGTTTATATAATAAAGTGGTCGTTGAAAAATCGTCGTGATACGAGTACATAGACGTTGCTAGCTTTGGGTTGATTATCTCCTGAGGAAGCAAGGCGTCTTATCACAAAGGCAGGCTTTTATTATACCTCTAAGGTGACTTGTGGCTCAAAACGTAACATCCTCTCTCGACTCTTGTTTCGTTTATTTGTTGAAAGAATGTTTCTTATTTCACTCAACATATCTGCAACCTCTTCCTTTACTGTTGCCATCGCAGCCATTTCATCAGCGTTGACGTTTTCTGATGAGTTTTTCTTAAGACGACGTCGAGCCCAATAACGACTGATAAGTTCCCGAACAACATTCTAAGAGAGCAAAATATGATAGTCTTAAAACGCCAATTACATAACATAACTAAGCAGGCACATTATTTTTTTTCTGCACTATTCACTTGGTTTTACTTACTTGCTGGTCCGGAGGAAAAGACCCCCATATACCACGCAAAGGGAGCCATGTCGTCTCGCTTAAGGAGCTGAAGGGGGTTGGAAGGGGGGCGGTGAATTGCAGATTTTGGTCTCAAAGAGTGCTCATGGTAGAAAGCCCATTTATTGACTTGGAAAACCAATGTACGTGACGCCATCTAAAAACGATCTTTTTACAATAACTGAGCGATTTTTCGCGCGCTGCATGATTGGTCGAGAGCTATGTTAGATACGAGAAAATACCATGGAAATGACGTGATGATGGCGCCATTTGTTTTTCTCTTTCTCACGCGCGCCATTCTCCGTGTAACTTTAACGGAAATGGACGTCAAAACTGCCGATGTTACTGTAAAAAAAAACGCTTTGCAGTGAAACCACCCGCCAGCGGCTCGTAGTTCCACTTGAGTTTTGAACATTATGACGTCTATAATTGATAACAGTGCAGACCATGAACAATCGTGATGTCGATTTGTTAAATAAAGCCCACAGCCACATATTTCTTTAAAAAAAATTACTTTCTCACCTGATAACATTGCTTCTTTTGTTCCACATCCATACTGCGTTGTTGATAAACACGAAACGTTCCCTGTGTGTACATTACAGGCAAAAAAAATTAAGTAGTGGAAAGCTACTCATTGAAAAATCTCAACCATAGTTAACATCTAGTTTCTTTTAGCTCGACTCATATTAAATTGTCATTGAACGGAGACGAATTCGCAATTGAAATTTACGGCCGCTTGAGCTACCTATACCGCATAAGGTTTTCCGTTCACACACAAAAACTGTGATTTCGGTGCGATTTTTGTAAATTAACTGAGCGAAGCTACGCCGCGCCGATCTCTAAAGTGGCGCGTCATGTATCGGATAGTAAGGACTTTACAATCCCACTACGTGACTGCAACGAGAACGTCAAACAACAACAGGTTCAGTAGGCAAAACAACAACTTTGCACGTGCATCTCACTTTTTTGTAAATTTCTTGGCCGTTTCTGCAAGACTACGAAGTGAAATTGCCTAATTTTACTTTTTAGGGAGGACGTAAACAAGCGACGACAAACTTTTATTCTCTTTCTAAACTTGAATATGGTTCTTAGAAATTCAACTCCGGGAGGGTTCGCCAACCTTTGACAAAGTACGTGAGTTGGAGTAATCGCGAAAAAGACCGAAAGAACGCAAATTCATTTGTGAAGCGACGTCTTCGCTGGCGTCGCGTCATCGGATCGTTAAGTCCCTAGTTTCTGTGCCACACTTTGGTGTAGAGGTAACAGGTACTGATTCGGACCGTAGCGTAAGTAAATAAGTAGGAGCAAAGAATGGAATCCACTGACACGGAAGTAAATACGGTATGTAGAAATTTACTAACATTGAAAGGATACTCACCTTCACACAACACGGTAGACGTTGTGGAACTCCAAAGCACTTATTTGTCAGTTTAAATACCCATCTCACAATAGTCTTTGGAGACGGAATTAGATTCAGAGGGGGAGGTAGGGTAGCTACCCCATCCCCTATATAGTCCGCCCACAATTGCGCTCGGGCAAACTTGTACTCTGTTTCGATGTTATCCTACAAACAAATCAGGGACGTAGCGTGAGACTTGAAGGTGTACGCACGCGTTGGGAAGAAAAGTTAAACTAGGGGGATCTGTATGTAAGTACGTGCGGCAAGGGTCTAAGTGATTTGAATGGCGCTATGCTTGGCTATGATTGGTTTCTTAGAGCTGAATACAGCATAGTACCCAAGTATTTTACGCAATATTTTACAACCCTCTCTAAGATGGGCACCGTACCGAGGGTCCATTTAAGAGAAGCATCTGCTTTATGGAGAGTTGTAATTGCAATTTTGTTTACCTACGGAGCTCTTAGGAGTTCATGAGAACTCGTTGAAACGTGTCCGTGAGTTCCTGATCGAATTGGAATAAATTTAAAGAGAGGGAAAAACCGGAGTACCCGGAGAAAAACCTCTCGAAGCAAGGGAGAGAACCAACAACAAACTCAACCCATGACGCGATTCGAGGCCAGGAATCGAACCCGGGCCACATTGGTGGATCGAGGCGAGTGATTTCACCACTGCACCGTCCTTGCTAACTCGGTTAATCGGCAGTTAGAGGAAAGGACTGAAGAACGGCAGTTACCAATCCGCAGTAATCAAGAGTGTCTGTTTTAGGAAGGTGTCCATTGCGAGAGAGTTAACTATTTAATCGGAAATCAAAGTCGATTATATAGATAAAGCAGTCAATATATTTGGCGCAGTACAAATTAAAACGGGTGTTATTAAGTATTAGAGATGTTGATCCTTTTTTGACTGCAGGCAAGATTAAAGCTAGCCCGCAGACGAAATTAAACTTCTGCGACAACGAAATCCTTGTTCTGGGTTCCAGCTGCGTATTGCTAAGATTTGTTCCATGGTTTAGTTGGCTAATCAAGGCGAAGGGATATTCCAAACGCAGTTACGGTAATTCATTGAGTACGCTTTGCTTAGCATACGTGGCACGCACGCTAGATTAAAACCATAAAGCTCTTCTATGAGACAAATCAGCCTTCACTTAAGAGCAAAACCAGAGAGAGATGGGGAGACAAATGCCAGGGGTGAAAGAGGGAGAGAGCTTTTTCCTCCCTCCTCTATCTCCGCTAAACTTCCCTCTCTCCTTCCCCACCCCACCCAACCCGTGCCGCGCGCTTAAGACAAATGTTTGACCGTTTTTTTACAGGTGAAGCTTACCTCCACACGCTGGTATGAATTACTCATCATTGCAATCAGCATGTTAAGAAGCACAATAAGTGAGGCGGCATGATAAAGAGTGAAGAGAATCGCTGTCCAGATTCGGATCAGGCTCTGATCTTTGAAGACCTCTAATAAGCTATCAAGTGTAATCATGTCTAAACTTGCCCACATCAGGGTTACCATTGTTGTGATTAGACTGAAACAGAGACAAACGGAATTATCTATTGTAGAGGGATTAAGTAATGATCCAGGTAAGAAGGGAAGTACTTTCTTTTGTTGTGGCGCAATACGCTTTCCTCACATAGAAATGTTTCCATTTTTACGCAGAGAATGCATAAATCTATAAAAAGGCTGTTTACGAAAGAAAATGTATTTAAACTCCACTTTTAAAGGGTGTATTTTTGTGTTAAAACATTTCGACCAATCACAAGAGTAGCAAACAATGGCCAAGAAATGTTCACAATTTTACATCATCCGCACATACGATTTTTGTGTTACTTAGACTCAGACGAGATTTTGTTATAAGGAAGTTGGATAGAAAAAATGGATTAACATACATGCTGCTTTGCGAAGATTTCGTAAAATTTGATGTTTAGACCAATCAGAACCTTAGTAGAGACAATAGTAAAGTTAGCACCTTTTTGCATTCCAACGTGTTCACTGCGTTTTGGTCCTTTCCTTCTTATCTGGACCATTACTTAACAACTGACTGTTGACTGCGACTATTTAAGCAATAGAAAACGTTTTCCGTGTCTGCAAAACCTGAAATAAACACGAGAGGGTCTGGGAGAATTCGAGACAGTTATGCAAACCCGAGACGAAGTCGAGGGTTTGCATAACTGTCAAGAATTCTCCCAACGCCTCGAGTATTTATATCAGGCTATGCAAACACAGGAAAAAAGTTTTCTATTGCTTTTATAAAAAAAATGTCCCGAGAAAAAACGCAAAAATCTTTGTATGGTACTGATTAAAAGAGGAATTCTTACCAGTCGCAAAGTCTTGTCCACGAGGTATTTGCACGCTTAAACAGTTCTTGTTTTGCAAAAAGATGCTTTCCAAAATACGGACTTTTCTCGCTTAAAATGTCAGCTTTAGCGAAAAAAAATTGAGACACTTTCTTTGTAACGATTTCCCAAGTTTTAGCCGACGAAGGAATGGGTAAATAAAGTAAACTTGTCGAGTTTTGAAGTTGAAAACTTTTTCAAATCCGTGCTTGCGTGATTAGCGCTCGAAAAGCAAAACATCTTGACGCCACAATATGATGCAAACACTCCTCTCAGCCAATCAGAACGCGCGTATTATCTTAGTCATTTTATAAAAAGGTGATGTTACACGAAACGATCCGCAACAACAATTTTTAGCGAAACACAGCGTTGCAACATTGTTCCGACATTGCTTCAAATGGTTGCAACATTGTTCCAACATTGCAATGCTGTGCTGCGCAAAAAATCGTGGTTGCGAATCGTACTGTGTAACATTACCTTAAGGGCGTCTTGCCTTTATGCTTGACGACACGTCTTAGCTGATAAATTGGACTGTAAGTTATGTGCGGCGATCAGAGATACTAGGCGCTATTTACGTCTTAAAGGTCTCAGTAGACGATTTCTTCATACATGCAATACCTAAGAGTGTCTACAGTGTGGACATGATTCCGTAGAAAACGGTCATTTAGCCACCATGCCATGTCCCTGTGGTGTCCTAGTTGAGGTGATTTCCGATTGATTTAATTTAATATTTGTTATCAGACAAATTCTTGAACTTTGTGGTCATTAGCCTAAGTTGACATAATCTTTTTAAGTATAATGACTTTTGATGAGTTATTTACCTGTGATATCCTTTGCTTAGCAGACTGTGTATCACGTCTGTGTCATTTATCCCTGGTCTTTCCTGACCATAAGCCTCAAATGAGGATGAGTATAACATTGTCATGCTGACCGAAAATGATATCAACATTACCACACTGATGAAAGCGAACTGGAAGATTACTCGAACCATACGACTCAAGCTGAGCTGCAGGAGACCCAAGTAACGACTTATCTGGCACAGGTACACCAAGCGGAAGAAGCTGGCCACCACGCCCATCGCATAGAGCCCGTCTGCCGCGCTCAGAATAAAGTGATCGGCTACACAATCAATGTCAGTGTATTTTCCAACAATGGCGCGTCCAAACCATACTAAATAAGCGCCAAGGATCAAAACTACCATTCCCATATCCATCCAGTTCCATCCGCTTGATAAGTACCTGAACACACCGTCATGCCGGACCTGTTTGCACTCCCCCCAAGCTATTCCGAGGATCCACAAGAGGATAATCCATTCCAGTGCGGATGGTACTTGACTAAATCGGATGTTAAACCTCTCGTGTGACGAGGCAGCAAGGAGGGATAGAAAAATCACGAATGATGCAGTATGGTTGATGAATTTTATAAACGGTCTCTTTATTTTTCGGCTTAATGCTAGAAAAGGGCAGAAGAAGTACAAAAAAGCCATAAACGGATAGATCAGTACTTGAGTCATGACGTAGAAGATGCGGAAAGTGATTCCACGCGTGCGCCAGTACGGGACACCGCCGAACACTCGGCTCATGAGAAGATGTTGGCAAAATGGGTGAGCTACGAACTGCGAATGAAAAGAAATAAAATAATTTACTTCGTGCAAATACGCCTATACATTCTGTCCCCACCACTGAATATACTTCATGTTCAAGGCCAATAAAATGTTGTGATTAGCGATATTATACCATATTATAAATATGACCAAATGATAATACTGAGCTTGGGTTGCCTGTGGTGTGACGGCAGCGAATTGTACTGGGAAAAAGTGTGATGCAGTAGTTTCTGAGCTTATTAAGGTAAAGGAGGGAGACATGGGGGTTTACGGTATTGAGCTTTATTTCGGTAATTTTATTTTTAATGTGCGTCAGATGATTGCGCTATCATCCAGCCCTGCGGTATTTCATCCTTTTGGTTAACTATATTTGGTAAAAGATCCTTCACGGACCTTCACGGTATTGCGATACCATTTACTTGCGCTCTCCTGTCTAATACAGGTCAATACAATGTGCAGCACCAACCACAGTAAGCTAAATGATTAAAATGATGTCACAAATGATTAAATGATTACACAAGATATGACGAAATTAGAAGGGCATCCAATGACCGGGCTTTTCGATCGTTGTACCGATCAAGGTCCTCTAACGTTTTCTCGCAATGTCTGAGGTTGATTTCTGGTGCATACATGCTTGAGATAAACAAACACGCGAGATGGATACCGCTTTAAAAGTAAACGTTACCGATCATAAATGCGGTATCGGTATTTGCCAATTGTTCTGACGGTATTGCGGTATTGGGTACCCCCACCCCCCTTCCTTGTAAAGATAACGACCGGAGTTTATCCCGGTTTCCTTAGCATGAAGCATGCATAAGAATATTGCTACTCCCCCCCTGGACGGGATGCTAGTCCATCGCAGGGTTAACCCCCCAGCAGTATCTCGCCGGGGGCCGGTTCCTCGAAGGCCGTTTAGCGCTAAAAACAGGGCTAAAATTGACGACTTCGATATTTTTATTACTATAAATTATTTACAGGTGTTTACAGCAGTGTTTTAGAGTATATCCCATTGCAAAGAGATAAATTACATTGCAGCTCTCTAAAACAGACTATCCAGACATTCAATACAGTTTCCAAAAAAGAAATTCAAAGTGAAAAAACTTGCATAATAAATGCCAAAAATTCAAAAAGAACGCCAAGTGGTCCAAAATGAAGTGTATTTTACAGGATATGTTAAAAATGAATTTCTTGCTTTTTTTCTGGCCAACTGCGTGCCAAACCTCCCTGAAAAGAAGCAAATATAGAAATTTTAACAATTTTTTTTTGTGACACCTACTCATGGTAAAAAAAGGAAAAAAATTGTGTTTTTTCCTGTGTCTACAAGGGGGGTATCAAAATGATGCCAAAAGCCCTTCTAAACAATTTATTAACAACCCACTAAGACAGGATTTTGATCATCTTTTGCAATAAATGACACGAGATGCCAGATTTAGAAAGATTTTAGAAGATTAAAGGTTTGACAAAAATTTTGGAAAAAAAGAACCCACCACCACCCCTGCCAACATCTGGCAGGCTACTGAAAAGGTTATTGAATGTATTCTACAAATAGAAAATAAAAAATAAAAAATTTGCAATATGTTTTGTATTAAGATATACATAAAAATGTATTTCTGGTGTTTACGTATCTAAAGGGTTGTTGTATCATAAACTTGTGAAATTGATACAAATACTCAGATACTCCCTATTGCAATACAATACCCTGTACATCTACCTGATGAGAAACAAAACCAAGCATTAGTAAATCTCGCAAAAAAAGTAAATCATTTTGTTTTAGACCACACTTACAAGTAATATGCAGGTGAGTAATTTTAATACAACTTTTAACTTTTTTTTTTCTCACAAATATATTTTTAACTTTTTTTTCTTATTTTCAATTTCATCTGAGAGACTGACTGACTAAAAAATGCAGCAATTCAGAGCTAAAAAATTATTTGCTTTGATATTCTTTGCTGTGGAAAATCTTAAAACAATTTCGTTCCCTGGTGATATGCATGTGTTTTCCCTGGCATTGTGGTGCGCCACAATAGGTCGAAATCTTCCTCTCCACTTTTTCCTGTTTGTAACAAACGACACAGTTTCTCTTTTTTTCAGAAATAAGAGGGAGATGTTGGGTTTCAAACAAAGAAGGTTGAGCCTTTGGTCTCCCACTAGTATGGACAGGGGGGTCACCATATTCATCAAAATCACAAATTTGCCTAACAAGTTCATCTCGAAAATCACATTGTGAATATCCAGCTGGTCTTTCGAGCTCATCTGGAAACCTAGCCTGGTGGTCTAAAAACAAAATGTAACTATTGACCACAGCAATATCAATAAGGTGATAAAACAAAGTTTTCCACCACTGCATAGATTTACGCTGGATGTTAAATGAGGAAAGGATCTGGTCCGACCTGTCAACTGCATTCATTTTCTTGTTGTACGTCTGAAAAATTTGAGGCTGTTGAACAAGTCTTTCAGTCCACGAACCCGCATTCCTTTCTTTCCGGGACACCTGGACGTGGTCATTTGCACTGCCCACAGTTGTTATCATGGACACGACCTTATTATCCACCCACTGCAAAACTAAACAGGGAGGGTCCCTCACCCAGCGCATACAACCCCGCTCCTTACCCTTAGCCCACTCTTTGCTGTTTTTAAGAGTGGCTGGGAAACTACGTCTAGTCTCTAAAATGGTACCAGTGGCAAGGACACCCCTATCAAACAGATCTTTGAAAAGGATAAGGGATGAGTAGAAATTGTCTACGAACAGATGGTAACCCCGATTGAAGTAGGGAGACATGAGACGCATAACTACATCATAGCCAAGCCCATGTTCACTGACATCCTGCCCTGAGGCTCTACCAATGTAGATGTTAAAATCAATGGTATAGCCATTTGAGCTATCTGCCAGTACCCAGAGTTTAATTCCCCATCTGGTGGGCTTATCCTTGATGAATTGGCGAAACCCTGACCTGTGCCTAGACTTCACCATGCGCTCATCGATAGCCACATGTTGCCTTGGCTGGTACAATTCACTACATTTTTTTTTAAAATCAGTAACAAAAGACTCCACATCACGCAGCTTATTCCCAGGTGTTTTGGTTGCCGGGTCGACTACATGCAACATGGCTAAGATTGCAAAATATTTCTGTCGGGAAAGGATTGCACGAGCCCATAGACCATGGTAAAGGGTCTTCGTGCTCCAGTTCTTTTGGACATCACCTCGGACATGAACAACACCGAAATGAATCAATAGGGCAATAAACCTTTTGATTTCATCAGCAGTCACATCCTTCCAGCTGCCATCAGACTGGGTATACGAAGAGCCTTCACCTGAAAAGACCTTTTCCTGTGCGTAACTGTTAGTATGTCTAACTATGTCACCTATCATTTTATCAGTAAAAAAAAGGTCAAAAAAATCAATAGCCCTTGTCATGGTGTTCCTCAAATGACGACCACGGAGCTGAAAACCAACATCGCGTCCTGGGACAAATGGCGGAAGAGGATTCGGAACATCGGGGTCATCATAGCTCAGGTAGGGAGCCTCATCCTCTGAATCACCACAGCGTTCACCAGCAGCACCACTACGACGTCTGCGACGACCAGCAGCACGGCCTCTGCCATGACCAGCACCACGGTTAGTAGGCTGATCTGCAGCATGGACAGTGCGAGCTACACAAATATAAACATACATGTCACTACTTCAATTATAAATAACAACAAGCAACATTTAACTTTTAAAAATTATATGCTATAAAAACTATAAAATTAATTACTTACCAGGTCGTGCAGGAGGAGTATCTGAGCTGTGGAACCTGGTTGGAGGATGAGAACCTAACCAAAACAAACATAACATTATGATGATTCAATGACAATAAGAGCATACAATAACTACCAACTGTATTGAAATAATACTGACCTGAAAGAATCTCATGCACTTCTTCTACAACCAGGGGTGCAGCTGGGGGAGCTGCAGAAGCAGCTGACGTTACAGGAGGTGCAGGTGTTGTGGGAGCAGCCAACACAACAGATGGAATGTCTGCACCATCATCATCACTGCCAGCATCTTCATCACTTTGAGAATTAAATAAAGAAAACAGAAAACTATATATATATATATATAAAAACGGCGACGCAACAAGCAGAAAAAAGAAACAAAATTTTCTCATCACTAAACCCAACTAAACAAGTGAAAAAACAATTATATAAAATATTTCAAACTTTGTAAAAAAAATAGGAAGGTTTTTTTGGAAAGCCGAAAACACCACATTGAGGAAAAAAAAAATGAACATTCTGGCGTTACAAGGAGGAAAATCGAAATAACTGAGTGGTATGTGATATCCACGCAAGGTTCGCGTCCCCACGTGATTTACGAGTCCCTTCGAGTAAGTCGCAAAATATTATAATAAAAAAGTATACCTTTGGCCAAATGAATGGAGCTTTAAATTTAGGAACATCAATTTAAATTTGGACATTTATTTCAATTATAATGCTTGTTTCGGTCGCAAAACGCTGATCTAAATGGCATAAAAACGGCATGAAAACGGCATATGTTCGTACATTTTTAACACAATTCATGCGAAGTGAGTTTTATTACAGCCTGGCGGCCCTTCTGATGGCAGTCCGTTGGAATTTGAATTTTGTTAGATCGAGAATGTATGAAAATAAACAAAATACGATCTAAATTACATTTTTTGAAAAAACGACGCAATAAAAATGATTCAACTTGTGTTTATGTTGAATGGTCTGTCTGTTGGCTCCTAGAGCCGATCTCCGATGCCGTTATGAAAACGCCTTCAAAATGGCTCTAGAAGCGAAAAGACAGTAAAACATGCAACGCAATAAGGTTGAATCATTTTTATTGTGAAGTGCTTTCAAAAAAATATAACTTAGATCGTATTTTGTATATTTTCAGACATATTTTCTCTTAAAAATTGAATTCACATTCCAACGAACTCTCACTTTTGGGTTATGGAACTTCAACTAATCACTTACCTCCAGTTGTTATCCAAATCATAAAGCTGGTTATCCAGATCGCTTTCTTCATCACTTGGCATCCCTCCATTGTCAGTTTCTTCCTCTAAAACTCGCCGAACAGCCTTTTCGATATCGAACGTTTGCTCGCGTGAACTTCTGCTACTGGACGCCATTGCACTCCCACTTTCAAATTCGAACGTTGTGACCACTGATTTATATGGCATGAAACTCGGTGTGTGATTGGCTAAATCTATCAACTTCCTTTGTTGAGCCAAATTTGGAGGCAATCGGAAGTAACGCATTTGTTTGCGAATTGTTTTCCTTGTAGCTCCCTACATGACATTTGTAGGACCGGAAAGTAAGAATTTTTTTCCGTGTTTGTATTTTATCTTCCTATGCATTTCTTAGGGTAACATTTTGTCATCATTACCGTATCACGAATTTAAATCTCAACAGTATTTATTTTGAAAATACTTTATGTCCGAGGCCAATAATAAAATGTTACGATTAGCGTTATGATAAAATTATAATACTGAGCTTGGGCTGCCTGTGGTGTATTAAACGGCAAAGAATTGTACTCAGAGAACATGTGATGCATTAATAGTTTCTTTGCTTATTAAGTTAAGGTAACGGCCCAAACGGCCGAAGCTTATCCCGGTTTCCTTAGCATGAAGCATAGCTAGGATTATTGCGACTCCCCCCTGGATGGGATGCTAATCCATCGCAGGGTTAACCCCAAACAGTATATTGCAGGTAACCATGTATACATCTGGGTCCGCTTCCTCGAAGGCCGATTAGCGCTAATCTAGGACTCATCGTCTTCACATAAAAATCAGGCTAAAATTGACGACTTCGACATTTTTATTAATATAAATTATCTACAGGTATTTACAGCAGTGTTTTAGACTACATCCCATTTGAAAAAGATAAATTACATTGTAGCTGTACAAAAAACACTGTGTACTCTCCAGACATTCAATACAGTTTCCAAAACACATTCAGTCAAAAAAAAATTGCATAATTAATGTAAACAAATTCAAAAAGAACGCCATGTAGTCCAAAATGAAGTGTACTTGCAAGATATGTTGAAAATGAATTTCTTGCATTTTTTTTCTGACCAACTGCATGCCAAATCTCCCTGAAAAGAAGCAAATATACAATCTTTAACAATTTTCTTGGGACACCTACTCATGGTAAAAAAATACCTTTTTTTCAATTTTTTTTTCCTGTGGGTACATATCAGAGGGGTGGGGGTTATATATCAAAATGATGTAAGATGGTGCAAAAAGCCCGTCTAAACCCCTAACAACCCACTATGACAGGATTTTGATCATTTTTCGTAATAAATAACTCAAAATGCCAGACTTCAAATAAAGCTTGAAAAGATATTTTGAAAAAAAAAAACCCACCACCACCCCTGCCAACATTTGGCAGGCTACGGAAAAGATTGTTGATTGTATTCTACAAAATATATAAAATTAATAAAAACTTGCAATAAATAATATATTTAGATATACATATTTGTGTTTTTTTGCATATCTAAAAGGGTGTTGTCTCATAAACTTATATAAAATGACACAAATACTCAGATACTCCCTAAATGTGATATAATGCCCTCTACATCTACCTGATAAGAAACAAAACCAAGGTTAAGTTAATCTCACAAAAACAGTAAAACATTTTGTTTTAGACCATCATGCCGCTGAGTAATTTTAATACAGCTTTTAACTTTTTTTTTTTCTATATAAGTTTTAAATTTTTTTTCTTATTTTCAGTGTCATCTGAGATAGACTAAAAATGCAGCAGAGAGCTAAAGAATTATTGGCTTTGATATTCTTCACTGTGAAAAATCTGAAAACAATGCCGGTCCTTGCTGAGATGCATGTATTTACCCTCACATTGTGGTGCAGCACAATAGGAATGAACCTTTCTCTGCACTTTTTCCTGTTTGTAACAAACAACACAGGTTCTCCTTTCTTCCGTAAAAACGGGAAGATGTTCTGTTTTGAACAAAGAAGGTTGAGCCTTTGGTCTCCCACTAGTATGGACAGGGGGGTCACCATATTCATCAAAATCACAAATTTGCCTCACAAGTTCATCTCGAAAATCACATTGTGAATATCCAGCCGGTCTTTCGAGCTCGTCTGGAAACCTAGCCTGGTGGTCTAAAAACAAAATGTAACTATTGACCACAGCAATATCAATAAGGTGATAAAACAAAGTTTTCCACCACTGCATAGATTTACGCTGGATGTTAAATGAGGAAAGGATCTGATCCGACCTGTCAACTGCATTCATTTTCTTGTTGTACATCTGAAAAATTTGAGGCTGTTGAACAAGTCTTTCAGTCCATGAACCTGCATTTCTTTCTTTCCGGGACACCTGGACGTGGTCATTTGCATTGCCCACAGTTGTTATCATGGACACCACCTTATTATCCACCCACTGCAAAACTAAACAGGGAGGGTCCCTCACCCAGCGCATACAACCCCGCTCCTTACCCTTAGCCCACTCTTTGCTGTTTTTAAGAGTGGCTGGGAAACTACGTCTAGTCTCTAAAATGGTACCAGTGGCAAGGACACCCCTATCAAATAGATCTTTGAAAAGGATAAGGGATGAGTAGAAATTGTCTACGAACAGATGGTAACCCCGATTGAAGTAGGGAGACATGAGACGCATAACTACATCATAGCCAAGCCCATGTTCACTGACATCCTGCCCTGCAGCTCTACCAATGTAGATGTTAAAATCAATGGTATAGCCATTTGAGCTATCTGCCAGTACCCAGAGTTTAATTCCCCATCTGGTGGGCTTATCCTTGATGAATTGGCGAAACCCTGACCTGTGCCTAGACTTCACCATGCGCTCATCGATAGCCACATGTTGCCTTGGCTGGTACAATTCACTACATTTTTTTTTAAAATCAGTAACAAAAGACTCCACATCACACAGCTTATTCCCAGGTGTTTTGGTTGCCGGGTCAACTACGTGCAACATGGCTAAGATTGCAAAATATTTCTGTCGGGAAAGGATTGCACGAGCCCATAGACCATGGTAAAGGGTCTTCGTGCTCCAGTTCTTTTGGACATCACCTCGGACATGAACAACACCGAAATGAATCAATAGGGCAATAAACCTTTTGATTTCATCAGCAGTCACATCCTTCCAGCTGCCATCAGACTGGGTATACGAAGAGCCTTCACCTGAAAAGACCTTTTCCTGTGCGTAACTGTTAGTATGTCTAACTATGTCACCTATCATTTTATCAGTAAAAAAAAGGTCAAAAAAATCAATAGCCCTTGTCATGGTGTTCCTCAAATGACGGCCACGGAGCTGAAAACCAACATCACGTCCTGGGACAAAAGGCGGAAGAGGATTCGGAACATCGGGGTCATCATAGCTCAGGTAGGGAGCCTCATCCTCTGAATCACCACAGCGTTCACCAGCAGCACCACCACGACCTCTGCGACGACCAGCAGCACGGCCTTTGCCACGACCAGCACCACGGTTAGTAGGCTGATCTGCAGCACAGACAGTGCGAGCTGCACAACATAAACATACATGTCACTACTTCAGTTATAAATGACAACAAACAACCTTTGACTTTTAAAAATTATATGCTGTGTAAACTATAAAATTAATTACTTACCAGGTCGTGCAGGAGGAGTATCTGAGCTGTGGAACCTGGTTGGAGGATGAGGACCTAACCAAAACAAACATATTTATTAATAATGATGATTCAATGACAATAAGAGCATACAATATAAGTACCAACTGTATTGAATTACTGTTTACAATGATAATGAAATAATACTGACCTGAAAGAATCTCTTGCACTTCTTCTGCAACCAGGGGTGCAGCTGGGGGAGCTGCAGAAGCAGCTGACGTTACAGGAGGTGCAGGTGTTGTGGGAGCAGCCAACACAACAGATGGTATGCCTGCACCATCATCATCACTTCCAGCATCTTCATCACTTTGAGAATTAAATAAACAAAACATAAAACTATATATATCCATAAAAACGCCGAGGCAATAAACAGAAAAAAGAAACAAAATTTTCTCATCACTAAACTCAACTAAACAACTGAAAAAAAAAATTATATAAAATATTTCAAACTTTGCAAAAAAAAATAGGAAGGTTTTTTTGGAAAGCCGAAAAAACACCACATTGAACATTGAGGTAGAAAAATATGAGAATTCTGGCGTTACTAGGAGGAAATTCGAAATAATTGAGTGGTATTTGAGATCCACGCAAGGTTCGCGTCCCCACGTGATTTATGCGTCCCTTCGAGTAAGTCGCAAAATATTATAATAAAAAAGTATACCTTTGGCCAAATAAATGGAGCTTTACGAACACAAATTCAAATTTGGAGATCTGTTTCAACTATAATACAAGTTTCGGTCGCAAAACGCTGATCTAAAACGGCATATTTCTAAATTTTTAGGACAATTCATGAGAAGTGAGTGTTATCACAGCCTGGCGGCCCAGACTTTGATGGGAGTCCGTTGGAATTTGAATTTTGTTACAGAATGTATGAAAATAAACAAAATACGATCTAAATCACATGTTTTGAAAAACCTCCGCAATAAAAATGACTCACCTTGTGTTTGTGTTGTGTGTTTTACCGTCTGTTCGCTTCTAGAGCCATTTGGATGCCGTTTGATACTTTTATCCAGAGTTTTAGATTTAAAACTCTATAAAACGGCTCCTAAACAGGCTCTGGAAGTGAACAGACAGTAAAACATGTAACACAAACACAAGCTGAATCATTTTTATTGTGAAGTTTTTTCAAAAAAATATAACTTAGATCGTATTTTGTAGTATTTTCATACATATTTTCTCTTCAAAATTGAACTCTCATTTTGAGTCTCTGGTCTTATGAAACTTCAACTGATCACTTACCTCCAGTTGTTATCCAAATCATAAAGCTGGTTATCCAGATCGCTTTCTTCATCACTTGGCATCCCTCCATTGTCAGTTTCTTCCTCTAAAACTCGCCGAACAGCCTTTTCGATATCGAACGTTTGCTTGCGTGAATTTCTGCTACTGGACGCCATTGCACTCTCACTTTCAAAAATTCGCACGCTATGACCACTGCCTTATATGGCATAAAACTCGGTGTGTGATTGGCTAAATCTTTTAACTTCCTTTGAGCCAAATTTGGAGGTAATCGGAAGTAACACAATTTTTTACGAATTGTTTTCCTTGTAGGTCGCTACAACACAGACAGAATTTTGTTCCGTTTTTGTTTTGCTATGATATGCTTAAACATATTGCTTTTTTGAGCTTCTCGTTGTCATGGCCATCGCAGTTGTTCTTTTCGTACACGGTCGCTGCAATTTTCAAGACACTTAGAAAATTTTGTACTGTTATTTTAGGGATCCTACTGATGAACAGTTGGGCGTAGATATATTTTTTAGCAACTACAATAATTTGCAGTCTGTCTACTTTGAATTGGGAATGTTTCAATTAAAAAGGAAGATAATCGCAACCAAGGGTAGAACCCGGACGTTTCGTATCCTAATCTCTCTCCCTACTCGCCAAAAACCCGAATAATTTAACTACACATACTATCCAGCTGTCTTTTCTTAACTGATACATCAATAACAGGTGACTCTAGCCCTTTCCATAACTTTAAACGTATTAAAAATTCAACTTGGGCTTCAACGTCGTTCTCTCTAGAACTATTCAAAATTGTTTTATTTGCCATATTTTGAAACCAATCCATAGACCATGTTACATCTATCACGACTTAAGGCTTGGTTACCTCCTGGTTACCAATGGTGGCATCGACCGTTAAAAATGCCATCGACCATTTACGAAAGGGAAATAACGAACGCAAAAAGGTCCCCCAATATTTAGCCTACGTGCCAGGCGTTCAAAGGGGAATGGAAAGGGGATTTTGGGCGCGAGAGGAAGAAGGGAGAACCCTCCCTCCTCGCACACCCCTCGCGTTTCTCTCGCGTTCTGCATTGAAGGTTCTGGAAATGCTTAATGAAAATATGAATTGAGCACACTCTTCGCGATGGATATATTGTGGCTCAATTTTATCCTTGGTTTAAATTTTACTTTCCTCCATATGGGGCATGGTAATGTATGATAATGAGTTTGAAACAAAGGAAAATAAAATTTAAACCAAGGATAAAATTGAACCACAACATATACAAACTTTTTAATTACTGATTAACGATTGCCAGCCGGGTTTAAATTCAAAATAAACGGTGGGTGACAGCGAGTTCTTTTATTTCGACAGATGGACTTTCAGTCGTCCGACAAATTCACCGGAAAACGTAGGAACGTTCTCTGTTACGTGGAACACGTGAAGATAAGATTTGTGATAGGAACCTACCATGAGATATTTTTTTATTTTTTTTTAATTTGAGGCGTCGTCCACATGCATCTGGATATTTTTTAAGGGAGATTTTATTCTCCGTTTTCGAAAAACTACGCGTTCACACGTAGCGTCATGCATGCATTTGAACAGAATTCGCCTGTCCATTAGGAAACACTGAGACAATGGAAATACAATATGGAGTTTTCGCATCGGCGACGGCAACGGGAGCGAAAACGTCACTTTCAAAAGTAATAAGCGTTTTTTCAAACTTTGTCGTCGTTGCTGTCACTCAAGTTAAAAGATACTGAATGAAGATTTCGTCCGCGCTTGTTTACGTCCTCAATAAAACTGGAAATTAGGCATTTTCACGTCGTAGTCGTGCAGTAACGGCAAAGAAATGAACAAAAAAGCGTGATGCACGTACAAACTTATTGTTTTGCTTAATATACCTATTCAGTTGCTGTTTTGACGTTCTTGTTGCCGTCGCCGTCGCCATTGCAAAAATTCCCTAATGTGTTACAGGTCATGCGCTGTATGATGTATGACATTACCGTATTCGAAAATCGTCCGCGTTTTCAAAACACTCCACTCTAAAGAGCGTTTAGGAAAAAAATACGTTTTCCGGCCCGGGGTGACCGTTCACTGGGTTAGTGTGAACGGCAAGCCAAAGCGGAGAAAAAAATCACCGTTTTCAAACAATAAAGGATTCGTGCTGACGGTGACTAAGTTTCCTTGGCTGAAATCGAGTTTTTGAAGGCCTCTTTCTAAATAACGTGTGTATAGAGAACGGCGGAAATATCCTCGAAATTATGAAACCGTTTAACGAAGTGGTTCCGCTGTATATACAAAGAAACGTTAATTGATTTGTCATAGCAATGCCTTTGTTTGGTTTGACACTGAGCTGAGCGGCGCAAATATAGGTAAAAAGCAGGATGCGATAATGATCACCAACAAAATAATTGAAGCCCGGGGCTAAATGCTTGCGTTTAGCATAACTCATGAAATATTCTGAGATAGCTTTTACAGAAAATTATAATATTTAGGGTCGGGTTGGAAAAATGGAAGGATGTCAGATGTTTTATAGAACAATGTCGATTTCATTTTCCAGCGAACAAATAAAAATATAATATATTTCCGTGCGCATTTCATGCAAAAGGTATTGAATGAAAAAAAGGATTCCCGCCCGTTGCAATTTTCTAGAAAAAATATTATTAGAAATGCTCATTATCAGCGAACTAACGTGAAAACTATGAAGAAACTAACAAAGTAAAATGAGAAGAAAAACAGCGAGACTATGAAGATTAAAAAGAAACTTGTAGGTGATTCCTGTAAAAGATCTGTAAACAACGCCATCAAAGTGAAAAAAAGGTTAATGTTCTCACTTTTATTAGTTCCGACATCGGCAGAAACAATGCATGACCATTGTGAGAATTATTGAAAAATTCATAAGTGGATGTTTATTCAGAGTAACATTAGATTTTTGTTTATAGGCAGTAAGGGGTTTCTCTTCCGACGATAATCAAATGGCATGGTGAATAAAATAATGTTAAAAATCAGAAGTCACAAAGATGTAGAAAAGGATTGAACAAAAAAAATCTATGAAAATTGGCCAAAAAGAAAGTAAAAATTTCAAGTCATCCATCTTTATGATAATTCGCTGTTAAGAAACAAACAGAATTGAGATTCACCCATTGATATTGATAGTTTACTTAGGACGAAAAACACAAATCGGATCCCCGTAAATAGGTACTTAACGTCTTAAATCAAAAAGTGTTTTTAAATGCAGATTGTTTTCCGTTTATAGCTAGCAGTGAAGGTTATTTCTCTTTTGAAATTTCCAAGACAAACTATTTATCAGTTTAGCAGTCGAAATTTATCTGTCTGACAAATTTGACTTATTTCCAATTTGTGCAATTATCAAAATAAGAAAATTATGCCACAAGTTGACACACTTAAAAGCATAAATTATTAATGCGTGTGTCTTAACCGGCATCAGGCAGTCTTAGAAATGTTTAAAGATTCGGGTTTCTTTAATTATTTCTTTTTTCTATGAGCAGTATTGGCTTTTGCAAAAAAGCCGAACAGCTTATTAACCAGATCGATCCGAAGAAACAGACTTTAAAGATGTGCCCAAAAAATGTATTTAAAAACCCGATTACCAAGTTAACATAGACACCAGAAATTATTATTCTTATCTAAGGTATTTTTCAACATTTATAGTAAAGCATACAGAAATGACACCTGCTTCTTTTACCCTGTCGTATTTCCTTTGTGAAGAAACCGCTTGAAAAATAAAAACAACTAAAACTAATGGAATATCTATCTGGTAGCAGATATGGATTTTAGAACAAGAAATTCGAAGACTTTTTTTTTCTACAATGTGTACATATTGCGTATATGATAAATCTCAAAAACAAATTATATCGTATCTTTATAAACTCGGACTGCATGGCATCAGTCTTTTGTCTCCGGAATAATAATTAAACTTTTTTTATTTTCCCGGCGCTGAGGTTATTAATAACGATTTCTAGTCTGCGGGGATAAGAAAAGGTTTTAAAATATGATAATCAATAAAAAACAGCCAATTACAGGTTGCTTTTACTCCCCTATCCTGTCAAGTTGTTCGTTTCGAGTTTAATATTCAGCTATTAAAGAAATAAAACGTTGTATTTCTGAATATTTTACATTTTGAGTTTGATTTTTCAATGCTTCTTTTAACGCCAATACCATTTGCTGCCTCCAATTTGTGATGTCACTTACCTTTACTATGCAAACATGTTGAAGTTTGGACACTATCCCTTTTTTAATTTTTTTAATTTTTTTTATTTTTTTTTATTTTTTTTTCACATAAACGCTCTCACAACTTATTTGTTCTTCACTGATGACGAAGAAACTATCTTCGTCATGTTCGTGTCAATCTGTCAAATAAATCTGAGTCGCACTCTTTTTTATTTTTGGTTGTAAGAACACAAGTGTACATTGCATTTCATTTGCTTTTTTACAACGCTATGGCTTCCTAGCGATGCATACATGTGAGTTTAAACTTGTAAAAACTCCCGTCGTGGAAAAAACCGCTAATAAAAAGCCAGTTATGCCTTATGCAGAGTTAATGTTCTACAAATCAAATTTTTGCGAAAAACTTTCGTTTTTCTTTTGCTTCTGTCTACCGAATAATAAAAGCTATATGAACACTTTTTCAGTTGCAGATATATTTCATTTTCTGAAATGGACATTTTGTGGGAGTTTTCACTAGTCGCCATGGTGGGTTTCGATCCCGCTAAGTGCGGAAGCGAATATTTGTTTTATGCAAATGTACGGGGAAAAATTGCTTTGAGCATAAAAATCAGTAATATGTTATGAATTAAAGGTCTTTTATGGATATTACATTTCACTGAATAGGATACGATCCACAATGAAATTCTGTAACTGATTAGGTGTCGGGTTCTAAACACAAGGATTGATGGAAATGTACTAAAGAGTTATACGACTCAGACCGCAAAATTGATTAAATAAAGCTAACAGAAACACGTTTTGTAAATACGAAGATTCATTCAAACCAAAACGCAATTTCTTGGCTGAAGTACCTGTTTTATCACGACTTCTTAGCTAATTTGATTATCTCTTATAAAATGCTTACCTCTTTTTGACCGTAAGAAATAGCATGGTGCAGTAATCCTAATGCTTCTTCGGCGAACTCCTCTTCGCTGGCTTCATTTCCCGGGAAATTTAACACAGTGGTCTGCTCCTTGCATGTTTTACACTCGTCTAGAAGCCCCAGTGCGAATTGGCTACATTGCAACGATAACGCCAGGTAATCCTTCTCGAATTCGTCCTCTTGTTTTGCGGACGTTTTTAAATCGCGACTTAGCTTGAACGCTGTTGTAAAGGGATCACTTCCCGTTAACGAAATCCACATCGGATTTGCCATAGCTCTGTAAACATCAAGGCGTTTTTGCGATTGTCTAAAATAATCTTCTTGGCAACTGCAGCACTCGCATAAGACGTCGTGCGGCTTTTCCAACGTAAAACCTTTGGATATAAAAAGTTTAAGAACCTCATATTTCCCAAAATGCGCAGCCACTACCAACGGCAAAAAATTTACTGGAGTTTTTCGGGAATTGCCCGCGGTTCCTAAATTCGTGGAAACGTTATTTTCATAAAAATCCTCCAAGTTAAAAAGCTGGAGATAATGATCAATTAGAACTTCAATAACTTGTACGTTCCCCTCTTGAACTGCTTTCATCAGCGATTCTTCAAGTTTACTTTCGTGATTTAACATGCAACCGTTGACTTCGCTAGGTGCATTGACTTTGTGACGCAAGGATCTGAAGCAGTTGGGTCTTTCTACTGTTGAGGCGGTAGAACGCTTTTCGTTTAGCTCAATCATTGGAACTCCTTCAAAAAACAATTCTTGGCCTTCGATAGGTGGATCTGTTAGCCACAAAGGACGGACAAACCCATCGCTACTTTGTGTATGCATTCTCAATTGCGCTGCCACTAGTTTAGAAACAGCGCCATTTGGTGACGGTGTTTGAGCTGTGGCCATGTCGAAATATAATGATCGACAGGTGAAAACACAACAGCGTGTCTTAAAAATATTAATACCCAGCAGTCTTCGGCGTTAGGCCAACAAAGCGAACAGCTTCTTTATCGTCAGTGGCTTTCTCTTCCTAACAACTTCTTTAAATTCAAACAAGACCCCACGATGCGGTTTACAGCAACACATAGGGATGAAGAACAACTTCACACATTCTTTCTTACGCGACGAACGAGATATCCATCGATTTGTGGTTGTATGCCAAAATATTCGTAGTTTTCAGTATGATTCTGAGTCGTACCTGAGTCATTAATTCCTGCCTATTAAATTTTTCCAAAAATAAAACTAAACTCAGGAAATGAACATTGAGGCACAAAACACGGAGATAGAAGATGATCAAGTTTTCGCGTGTGCGCAACACATCATTACTTGGTTATCTGTCCAATCACCTGCTTAATTTCACCTTAAAAATTTTAACGTTCTCAAGCAAATCCTCGTGGAATGTTCCTCGGCTGTAAGACTTCCATTAAATGTAACAAGAACTTACGATAAGGTTTAAATTATCGCGAACGTGGCGCGATTTCTGATCGGCTCGCCCGCGTAAACGCCAACTCAATGCAAATTAGCATGATGTCAAGGGATCAGCGGAAACCGCTATCGCTAATCTTAAGAGGCGTAGTTTATAAAGTAATTTTTGTCAACACGCATGTTTGTTGACAGTAGTAAATCGATCGTCTTAACAGGTCCTTTTAGAGCGCAGTTGACGTAAGAAAATGAATCTGATTGGGAGAAGCCATGCTTAAATGGCTTCACACACCTTCGTGTTGACCACGTCCGGTAATTAGTCCGAGAGGATATGTCTAGGTAGCGCACTCTTCTGATCTCGGCAGTCATAACAAAACTTTAACTGGCTCGTACAAAAGTACGTCAACTCAATGCACTCGCAGCGGAGAGATTGTATATTCCAGTCTTTCGTCCTCGTGCACACGTTTGGAAGCTTTACTTGGAAGGCCCCATGATGTATTTAGATATTGATATAAAAAAAATCGCAAATTTGGCATTTTTCGATTTCTGTTCATTAATACGTAGTTCCTTATTAAACACAAATTAGTATTTTTATCAGTCCAAAAGAAACCTCACACGTTTAAGTTTTTAGGTTTTAAAATTTCGTTAAGTCTTACGACATCAATTTTAATTCAACCCCAAACAAGAGCAAATTTGTATAGCCTCTACAAAGGAAAGTTTGCTTAAATAGATCGATTTTTTAATAATTTATTATAATAACTTTCCTTTTCTTTTTTCAGGGTCAACATTCAATCATCTATAAGCTTCGCAGACCTTATAGTTACAGAACTCAAAGCCAAATCTTCCATCGTACGTAAAGGCAAGAGAGTCTCTTGGTAAAGGGGTGCAATTGTGATTAAAAATCGAATTCTAATACCTTTGAAATTAATACGTCGACACATCAGCCTTATTTTTACAATCTACATCACTAATTATGCAATAAGTTATGGCAACTCTGACGCACAACGCTATTCAAATCGATGGCCGACCTGTCTTTTTTTTGTTTTTGTTTTTTGTTTTTCTTTTTTTTTTTTCAGTTAAAGGGCAAAAATCTTCATAAATTTTGTAAGGCGGCAGATTATCCAACTTTACAAGTGAGATGAAAATATCATCGATAGAGGCACGTACATGTTTCTTGTTTGAATTAAAAATGCGGTCAAAATTACCTTTCAACGTAACAATGTCATTTTCGCTTTTGAGTCTGCGCAAAAGGTTCGATCACCCTCGCAGCCGTTTTTGTCTCGTCACGCAACAGAGCGTTACGTAACGAGACAAAAAGGGCTGTGAGGGAGACTATCATTTAGCTGGATGCTCGGGGAAACAAAACGGCAAAATTCTTTCGATGTTCAGTCCCTCAGGATTCCCATTGGGGTCCTTAAACTCTATCATCCCGATTAAAAATTTTCCCTCGATTCAACCTAATCCCAATGAATCATTATTTTCGGCATCCCGTGAATGTTTTCAATCCGGAATCTCGCCCCCATTTTGCCCTTCAATAAGGCAAATCCCGACCTCCAAATACCCGTTTGGGACCCTTGTCCCTTTAACGCCTTTAGTTCCGATTCCCTCGCCTAAGACCAGAGGGGTATGAAGGTAAAGATCACTTATTAATCACAAACACATCAAATTTAATCCCTTTGACTTTCAACTTACTATCTATAGATACACTTGAACAAGTCTAGTAGGTAGCGGAAGTTTCTAATGAACCCTTAATTTCCAAACTATAATTATAAAAGGAAAGTCCTGTCGGCCTACGCAATGTCCGTGTTGTGATATTTCAGACTCTGCTGCTAGGATCAGACAAGGCTTGCTTACATAATCCTTATTATCAGTCAAATATTAAAACAAATCTGTGCTCCCCCTTTTTCATCCCTGTCTTTCAGTGTGGATAATGGCGAAGAAAGGCTTATGAAAGAACGAGTACCACCTCCGCGGTTTGGCCAGTACCTTACGCATGCGCACAACTATATCACCCCGGTAGTGACAACCATGGACCGCTGTTTCGTCCTTTATGGTTGTGCGCATGCGTAAGGTACCTGTCATACCGCGGAGTAGGCAGGTGTGCTTCAGTGCTTAAACTGGTATGCCCACCTACCACTCCCCTAAATCAACATTAACACTTACTTCTCACTTAAGGTAAAATGTTGGGTTAGGGGAGGGGTAGGTGGGCAGTTTCCCAGAAACCTAAATTGATCCCATTTATTTACCCACCCTGCAAGCAGGGCCTACTTTTGTCGGATCATTTTACGTTTCGGGAAACTGCCCACCTACCCCTCCCCTAAGCCATCATTTTGCCCTAAGCGAGAAGTAGGTGTTAATGTTAGCTTAGGGAAGGGGTAGGTGGGCAGTTTGCCTGAAACCTAAATTGATCCGAAAGGTTCTGCTGGCAGGGTGATATTTTCCGTACACCTGCTCGAAAACCTTTTTAAAAATGCACCGTTTAGGCGAGTTCGGAAATATAAAAGTTTAAAATGACAGTTGATTGCAGCTGACAATTGGGTTTTGATCGAAGTAAAAATAAAAAAGAGCGCTCAACAAATCCCAAACAAGAAATTCGCTTTTAAAAAAAAATCCTTTATCTTTTTGGTTAAATAGACCTCTTTAGCTTGTATGTTTTGATTTCCCAATAAGTCATGGTCTCAGGGGTGCAGTTTTCCTCCTGTCTTTTCATAAATTATGCGTACATATGCAAGGGATGTCTAAAATTTAAATGAAACAGTTCTCTATGGAATTATGACATGACATACCAGTGCCCGATCCAGACCTTGAGATAAGAGGGGGGGGACGGTCATCCAGACTCTTACATAAGGGGGGAGGGGCGGCCGGTCTCCAAAAAAAATTTTTCGGCCCTTCGGGCCTCAGTTTGGTCTAAAAATAAGGGGGCTCACCTGGATCCGCCACCTCATACATTAGGAAAACAAAACAAACAAGCTAAAGAGGTCTATTGACCCAACAGGTTTCCTAAGACTTATGGATGCTATCCTTGGATGTTTAGTTCCACTGTCTCAATCGGAGGGCTTTTACCAGTTTCCACTGTAGGGGAGGGGTCGGGGTTTTGGTTCTGATCAAACGTGGGTTGATTGGCAGAGCTCGGTGGATTTCCACACCAAACAAACCAGAAAAATCCAAGCCAATCTGTTAAGAAAGAAACGGAACTCTTAATGTCTATTACAAAATGCTAATTAAGAAAACTGTGTAAAGAAATACGTCCCGGTCAGTTGTATCAAATGCGAAATGCTTTGCGCGACCGACATGACCCAGTGATAGGAACAAGGGTGACAAAACAACCCAAATCAATGTGCACTTTGAAAAAATGGAACAAAGACCCGGGGGGGTTACTCCTTAAATGGCCTATAAGGAGAGGTTCCCTTTTGTTAATGGGGTACCTTTTCCAGGCTTCAGGTAAATGAAAGGGTGGGAATCTTACTAGATGTAGTATATTTAACAATTATTCGTCGCGCCCGAATGGGCTCTGAGTCAATAGCCCATGATGCCAAAGGCCGAATGGGTTATTGATTCAGAGGCCAAGAGGGCGGGAGGAAAAATTGTTTTGGTAAAATCCAACTAGTTGGTCAAAAATATCGAGACAAAACAACTTTAGCTGGCAAAACGCGATTCAGCCGCCATTGTTTTGGTTTTCAAAGCCGGCGCTTTTCGCTAATAGTGGGCTATAACATATAGCCTAGTAGTAGCTCAAACAATCAAAACACAGCATTGATAATAGACCACTAGTTGGCTTTTACTAAAAAAAGGTTAGATAAATCTATCATTGAACTCTGCAAAAGGACCTAAAAGAGCTAACAGATGCATTTTTGGCTGTGAAAATGGCAAGAACACTTCATGGTTTAGTCATTTATTCATATTTAAAAGACGGTACATTTACAGCAGTTAAAAGGGATGCCACGTTCTTCACAGGTATGAGGAAGGGGTACCACTTGTCAGCAGAAGGTAAAAGAAAGAGACACGTTTTCTGTCAAAAATGCTATACAGTTAAGGGCCTGTTTACATGGAGGTGGTGGACCCCAGATAGGTGAGGTCACATGTGGCGGGTCACCCCACCTACCATGTAAACGTGATCAAATTAAAATGAGAGGTTATATGAACAGACGGGTTACCTCACCTGAGCGGGTTACCTCACCTACCTGGGGTCCCCCACCTCCATGAAACAGGCCCTAAATCTCTCTACAACGGTCACCTTGGGGACAGAAGAAAGTGGGCGTTGTAAAGAGGTGGCCATTATAGAGAGGTTTTAAACAAGAGTCAATGTATGGATCTTTTGTCCGCCGGGACGAAAAAAGGTGGTCGTTATAGAAAGGTGGCCGTTAGTGGAGGGGGTTGAACCTCGGGGCGGAGCTTGCCAGTATTGAACTTTGCTAGTAGCCTTTCCCTTCCCCCACCCCCTCCACCTCCCCCGACCACTGAGGACAAGTGTTGAACGCGATAACCAAATCCATTCGATAAATGCGTTAACTAAGAAAACGTGAGAAGCTTACCTGTCTCTGATCTCTCCGCTGACCTCAAAAGAATGAAGATCATTAAGGCCATAAAACATGCGCAGAAGGCGATCGCCAGAAAACTAACAGGACCAAGTCTTTCAAAAACCTACGAAAATGTATCGTCTGGTAATTAACGAAAACCTGCCATTGAAGTACTATTCATTATTTCACAGCTGTTCATCAATTTTTCTGCTTACCTTTTATATTTCTTATCAATATATGAGCAATTTCCCTTTTATTTTTCACTTTCCGTCTGTTTATACTCGGCATTTCATTTTTCATCAGTTTGCCATTAACTTACCATGTACTAATCCTATTTTCACTATCTATTTACAACTAGTAATAACCAAAGGTTACGGAGTGCGGAGACAACGATCGAAGGTCAAAACCATTTGGCTCAGACGCTGTGCTTTGATTAAGTTTCACGTGATAGATGATCAAAACACGCGTGATTAAATTACAAGTGACAGAAGGTCCGAACGAGCGTGATCACAGATTGTCTTCGATGCATTCCATTCATTCTTAAAGGAACTCCAAACGAGGCTGGCTACGGAAACCGTGTGGAGCATGCGTAATAGCAACCCCTGGAGATTACGATTGCGGGCTCCTCTTGTCGACCGCAATAATATTTTCCAAATACTTAGGCCCCGTCCACACGTATACGGATATCAGTTTTTAGAAACAGAGGTATTTTTTTTTGCTCGAATATGACGCAAGCTCTGTAAAGGACGCTTTCCTCTTTGTATCGTTTTAGCGTTTTCGTCTGGATGGGCAAAAACGACTTGACTTACGATTCTTATGGATGCGTACTTTTTTGAAAACGAACCAAAAAATCTAATGATACAAGCGGTTGAGGGGTTAGTCAACCTCGTTCCCAGGGTTCTCTCCTACCCGCCCTACGGTTGTCTCTCGCTCCGTAGGGCGGGTAGGAGAGAACCCTGGGAACGAGGTTGGGGGTTAGTATCTACTTATTATCTACTCAATATCTTCTTGTCGCCAACGGAATTACCTACCTGTCCAACTACTAAAGGCAGTATTAATTCACCCAGAGCTGCACTGACAATCATAACACTTGTCACAGGGGCTGAAACGCAAACACAATTTTTTTACATACTATTTTTAGTAAATTTCTTTAATCATTTTCGATGTCGAATACGGAGAGACAAACGGAAATTACATTAGAGCAGGTGTGAAAAGACAACTAAGAGGCAAGGTGGTCTGAGAATGTTAGCATAATTATTTCTAATATAACTCTCTCGTGATTCTTTCCTCATTGAAAGAGAACTGTCAGGAGGTTTCACTGAGTCACTATATTTTGACGGCATACACAATTATCTGATCAGAGGAGGCCTCAAAATATTACTTTGATAAATTAAAAATATCGAAAGAGGAGCTGGTGATGGATTGGGACGAATATATAACGAGATTAACAAGGATTAGAACAGACAAAAACTCAAAAAATATCATGATACTAAATTTCTAAAATGTCTTAGCGACGTTTGCCGCTACAAGCTAGTATTTTATATAATCGTCCGCATCGTCTCAGTCACCTCGATTCTTTGAAACGATCGTGGCAATCGAGGAAATTTGGGCAGTTATATGGAAACCTCTATATAGACTTCAGATCTGTGCAGGGGAATAGGCCTTTTTCCAAAAATACCGTAATACTCTTTGCTGTCCCTCCAAAATTTTTGCATTAGCATTGTTTTCAATTTCTCTTCTGAAAACAATGCTTATGCAAAATTTTGGAGAGACAGCAAAAAGTATTATGGTATTTTTGAAAAAGGTCCATGTGATCAGCCAATTGGTCCGGATCTTGCTTGACTGCGACAGAGGCATAATCGACTCAAGCGCCTGAACTTATTTTGAAAGGACTCCGACGATCGCGATGATCCTGACAATAGGGACTTTAAGATCCAACGACGCGGACGACAACAAGAACGTCAAAAAAACAATGGGTTTAGTTAGCAAAACAACAACTTCGCACGTGCATCACAATTTTTTGTACATTTCTTTCCCGTTTTTGCACGACTACGACGTGAAAATGCCTAATTTCCCGTTTTATGGAGGACGTAAACAAGCAACGACGAAAATTTATTTCTCTTTCTGAGCTTGAATATGCTCTCTTGAAATTCAGCTTCAGGAGGGTTCGCCTACAATTGACAAAGCAAGTGGGTAGGAATAATCACTATAGGGACTGAAAGAACGCAAATTCACTTTTTAAGCGACGTTCTTGTCGCCGTCGCGTCGTTGGATCTTAAAGTCCCTAATTATAAGGAAGCTCGACTTGAAAGAAGAGGAAAGACTGAGTGTGGTGGCAGGCTTCCTCCTTTACTCATTAGCGTACTGCTGTTTGCGACTACACTGATCGCTTAGTGTCGACTGTAACATTTAGCATGATAATGATAGTTACCTGTTAGGTCTATGTAATATTCTGCGAGGGCAATGCTTGTTGGGAAGACACTGCTCATAAATAAACCGGCACCGCTGGTTCCCAACCTAACGCTGGCTCACTTTCTTCGAAAATCAACATGAAAAGAGTCGCTGAAAGGCAGCCGATCTGGAAAAGAACGTGATTGCGCAAATTCAAATAAACAGTGGTTGTGTTTACTACTAACACAATAAATACGAGTCAATAGTAGATGGAGGTCAAGAGGAGCTGCATGGGTGTTTTTTTAGAACGTTAGCTTTAAGTGTCTCGAATTAGTCTATGAATGAAATCTCATCTTTTCATGCTATACAAGGTGGTTTTAACTTCTGAGTGTATGGATGAAATCCTAAAGTACGCGTGACCATTCAAATGATAGCTACTGAGAAGTACTCAGTGACCCGTGTTACGTTTATTATGTCATACAAGGTGGTTGGAACCAAAGCACAAATGAAATTCTTAATTACCACTATTCAAATGAAAGCCACTGAGCAAAACGTTCCTCTGGTGCCGTTTATTGAGACAATGAATGTTGTTCTAACTGTTTAGTCCTTTTTTGATGTGAGTGGATGAAATCCAAAGTATACCCATATAAGTGAAAGCTATTCAGAGCAGTACTTTCCCCGTACTGGTACTACACTGTTTAATATGCTGTAAAAAGTTACTCTGACTTTTGAGTCTGTGGATGAAATCCTAAAGTGTGACCATTCAAACGAAAGCTACTCAGCAGTACTTTCCTGTGGTACTGTTTATTATGCTGTACAAGGTGGTTCTAACTTTCGAGTCTGTGGATGAAATCCTAAAGTGTGACCATTCAAACGAAAGCTACTGAGCAGTACTTTCGTGTGGTACTGTTTATTATGCTGTACAAGGTGGTTCTAACTTTTGAGTCTGTGGATGAAATGCTGAAGTGTGTGACCATTCAAATGAAAGCTCCTGAGCAGTACCCTCATGTTGTACTGTTTATTATGCTGTACAAGGTGGCTCTAACTGATGAGTTTGTGGATGAAATCCTAAAGTCTGACCATTCAAACGAAAGCTACTGAGCAGTACTTTCCTGTGGTACTGTTTATTATGCTGTAAAAGGTGGTTCTAACTTTTGAGTCTGTGGATGAAATGCTGAAGTGTGTGACCATTCAAATGAAAGCTCCTGAGCAGTACACTCCTGTTGTACTGTTTATTATGCTGCACAAGGTGGCTCTAACTGATGAGTTTGTGGATGAAATCCTAAAGTGTGACCATTCAAATGAAAGCTACTGAGCAGTACTCTCCTGTGGTACTGTTTATTATGCTGTACAAGGTGGTTCTAACTGATGAGTTTGTGGATGAAATCCTAAAGTGTGATAATTTAAATGAAAGCAACTGTTCTTCCAAACGTTATTCAGAATAAATTGTCGCAACTCAGTAATTTAAGTGATTGTAAATTGGAATACTCCGAGGAGCCTCTCTCTGATGCTATTAGGGTTTCAATAGTTTGTTTAAAAGAAACACATTTGATGATGTTACCAAGTTAATCATCAGCATGGTTGGAGGTTTGACATACATCGCTATTGGTATGGAAACAAACCGACCAACTGAAAGAGAGCCCTGAAACAATAGATTATTATATACAAATGAGATTTCATAATTAATGTATGATTTATAAGTATTTACAATCATATGCATCAGAATGCCTGACCTCTTTCATGGCAATTCGGTTTCCGGATTGATTTTTTGGAATCTGGAATTCAGCTCAAGGAATCCATTATCCCGTTAACGTTTGGAATCCAGAATGCAAGTTCCACTGACAAGGAATCCGTAAGCCAGTATTTGGGATTCAGAATCCACAGAGTGAATTCCAGAATCCAAGATAGTCTGGGACTGCCTTAAGTGGGGCGACATGTCAAGAGTGAAAGAGAGGGCACTGCGAAATAGTTAAACGTCTCGCGGTGCACAGGGTCAAGTTGCCTGTCAGTGAGTGTTCTCCGCTTATTAACGTGGTTAAAATCTGTTCATGTCAGTTAGCCTTTCTATATCATTAGAGACCTTTAGATTCAGGGACGAGAACGACTACGAGTTCGAGATTTGACTTCAAGTTTTTTCGCGTCTTCTCAAAATATAGACTCCGCGGAAAGCTTCATTTCACCATTTTTAACTGGAAAAGTTAGCACTGTTATCTGTAGTAAAGGAGGTTACACCCTCTCCCGATCGCAAAACGATCAAACTTCTAACATTTGATAACTTGTTTGCGTCACTTTGACATTCGCGCTAAGACTCGAAGTAGAGTGACGACGGCTACCACGTTTTCCCGCCAAAATGACGCTAGTTCACGCGGCTTGGTTCACGCGCAAGCACTACTGTTGAGAAAATCTCGTACTCGTTGTCGTACTCGTCTTAGAATCTAAAGGTCTCCAATGTGTGATATTTAATTTGCTTAACATGGCATGTCAGTTACTGACAAATTAAAAAAAGGTGCTCCATCGTAGGAGGGACGGGAACAGTGATCCGTCCGCCATTTTGTCTTTTTTCTGCACAGAGGAGACGCTACTCATTTTCAGACTGGGTGCCACAAGCTCCCAAATAAAAACAGGGGCAACACATGGGTATGCAGGAGGAACATATAATTGTGACTTCACTCCCATTAAGATAACAGTTCAATGTTACCTACTGATGTTCACCTTTTTAATTGGGTTTCATATTATTGTGTGACATGAAGTTGCGTGACGTAACACTCACCCAAAAGAGAGAGTTGAGATAAGCTGCGTGACTGGGCTTGATATGAACAGCTCCTTTAACAGCGTACGAGTAAACATATGCGCCAAACGTCGCCTAGGACAGAAGAGACAATTCCAACCTTAAATCAGTAGTGTTTTATGCACCCTTTTGAGAGTTCTCAATAAATAGTTTCATGATGTTTTCTTGGTTAATATGCAATTTCCACCCTACTTCTCGCCCCTTCTAGGGTAATCCACTAGTCCTGGATTATGGATTCCACGCCGTGGATTCCGGATTCCAGGCATTTAATTCCAGTATTTGTCAGTAGAACTTAGATTCTGGATTCCAATCGTTAGTAGGATTCCGGATTCCTTGAGCTGTATTCAGGATTCCAAAGCCCAGGATTTCAGATTCCACATTCCAATTTTTCCTGGATTCCGGTTTCCATAAGCAAAAATTTCCCCGATTCCCTTACATGGAGCGATACTTCCAACCTACTTCCTTTGAAAGTGTAGTTTGGAAAGGTCATAATGGTAACTAACCCATTACCTTTTTCTCCGTCTAGCATTTCCCTAATCCAAGTAAATGTCAGACAAAAGAAAAAATGGAGAGAATAAAAGAAAAAGAAGAAGACCAAACAAAGTGTTTGGGTTTTTGACCAGGTATGGTGACCAGAAAATGATTCCACTTGCTTAAAAGGGCAACTTTCGGTGCAATTTTCGGAGGCAATATAATATTCAGTATTTGTCAGCACTATACACTTGTTAGTGGGTCATATTTACTATACCATTAGCCCGTCGTACAAAAGTAGAATCAGCGACGTCAAGACTGTGACTACGACAACTCTCGGTTTCTGATCATCTCCAAAAATTTTTAGCCAGGGTTGCTTGCCATTGAGATATAATGTGACCATGTGGTGGTTATAGCCTGAAAAAGTTTTAGAACGTATTGAGAGTCCAGTGAAATACAATAGAAGACTACACTGTACATAAAGATACAAAATGCATCTTATTAGAGTACAGTGTCAGGTTATGTTGGCTGGTTCATAAAATGTTGTACAATAGACCTTTCTACCGATACGGCGGCCATGTTGAATTAATTCTATTCAAGGAGTATCATGGGATGCTCAGGGGGCATGAGCACGATCCGTTGTACTCGCATAGGGAACCCACCCTCTTATTTGACTGCAAAGTGAAATTAAATAAGAGAGAAAATCTTACCTGTTTTGTTCTATTCTTGAATCTTCTGTTGTGCGAAGTGAAATGGAAGTTAAATTAAGATGAGAGGGCTATGTTCAATTCGACGCTTTAACCTTTGTTGATTTCACAAAGCTTTGTGTGGTTTAGTCTCATTTCATTGATAGTGTCACGAGGCGATTGTTATTATCGTCTCGCGTTTCATTGTTGGTTATTAATTTATTAACAATTCAAGAGAGAGTAAGAGAAACTGGGGACAAGGGATGAAATTAATTTGAGGACCGATTTATTTTCAAGCCGTACTCAAGTATTACCAGCGGTTTTTGCACGAAATTCATTCCAACAACAGTTTAAGGGATAAAATGTACGGTGGGTCACTTCTTTCTATCCAAAATAAAAATCTTGGTATTCAAAAAGACAAGACATTGATTACTGACTTTTCGATTTATGAATGCCTCCACTTGACTGGACCGGAAGTTAACTTTGCGTTTCACGTCTGAAAGTTTCTTGAGCTTTTCTGCTTGGTTCTAAGATTGTTTAAAATTTGATTACATATACGTCCTGATACTGCCCATCGTGGAATGCTACCTCGCGCAGCCGGCACTGCGTTGTAAACTGGTCAGGGGCACCCAACGAGAATATAGTTCAAAACTACTTAAACATAGCATTCTTGAACGTATTTTAGTATTTAAACGGTATATATAGGCATATTTTTATCTCCTAAAAATTTTTCATCTGTTCGGATTTCCTAGCTGAAAGTCTAGTGATGCGAAAATTATAGGGATCAAAACTTACCTTTTCGAAAATTTCATCCGGAATAAAGGCTCCCGAAAATTCTAGGTGACCTTTGTAGGGTAAAAATCCGTTTAAAATGAGCAATTAGATGTTCGAAAATCCTAGAAGAGGCAGGCAAGCAAGAAATTTTACAACAATTTTTCCGAAAATTCTAGTTCTCAAATTGTCTTCCCAACAGATATTTTCCAAAATTTGTCGTTGGGTGCCCCTGACTGGTCCAGTCAACTGGAGGCGCCTGCTCAACGGAAATTTGTGGGGAGGGAAGAAATACGATCTCCCCTAAAAACGCCTGCGGGGGAGGCTACTGGAGGCACCGATTGCACGAGAGCAGCTATCGAGTTTCGACCCTTGTCATTATTTATTAACGTTAATTCAAATATTGTTAATAAATCAATAACCAACGATGAAACGCGAGACGATAAAAACAACCGGCGCGTGACCACATAAACCATTGTGAAAATCAACAACGGTTAAAGCGTCGACTTGAACATGGAGTAGTTTTCGCATCGTAAAACAACTTCCACTTCACTTTGCACCACAGCAGATTCAAGAATAAAACAAAGCAGGTAAGACTTTATCTCTTATTTAATTTCCATTTGCAGTTTACAAATAAGAGCGTGGGTTCCCTATGTACTCGCTTAGTATTAGAAATATGGTCTTTCACAGGAAAAGGCGATCACTATTAGATCCTAACACGGCACAAGGATCAGTTTTCCCATTACAATCTAATTCTAAGACTTCAAGAAAAAAAGGTCCCGAAAGGCGCTCGTAAATACTAAACGGAATGTGCTTATGCTCCCTAGGCATCCCATAATACTTCTTAAATCTAACTTATATCAATATGGAGACCGTAATGGTAAAAAGGTCTATTGGAACAGTGTTAAATGAAGTGCGAAACCAATTGTGGAATTGTGCACATTTTAGGCATAAAGGAGCCTTACCCAAGGGCGCGATCACTATTCTAAGAACAGTTCTTGTACAGTTCTTCCAGATTTTTGGAAAAATTTTGTAACGCACTACAGCTAGCGATGAAAAACGCCCAGCTTAGATGCAATTTCTTTTTGGACGAGAAATCAGAAAACCTGACAGAATTAAGATTTAGCATACTAATGCATATTGATGGTAGTGGTAATGGTTATGGTGATGTCGACGAATATGGTGGTCATAATGATGATGATAATGATGGTAGCAATGTTTATGACAGTACTGAGACAATAATGATGATAATAACATTAATGCTAAATAAAGGTGTTAACTTACCAGGGTTGTTAAGCCTCTGCTCATCGTACATTTCATACTCGTATTTCTTAAGGGTCCCTGTGATTTTGGCCAATTTACGTGTAAACATTAGCCATAACAACCCAAATATTACTGGAAGCTGGAAAAAAAGCGAATCCACAATTTGTCTTTGTTTTTGTCTATCTATCCATGTATTTATCTACGTACTAATTTTATTATGTCTACGAGTTTTTCATTACCAGTTTCACGATCTTATTTAATTATTGTAGGAAAAATATGGTTTTTCTTTACATCCCATACCATTTTCCTAACTTCTTTTGGGTCGCGCTATAATTCCATTCTGTCGTCGTGAAAGGTTAAATGCTAGTGTAGAGGGTTGATCACGGGAGTTGCATTTAGCTTTTCTTAGCCACTTTATCGGCAAATCAACACTAAATGTGTAATCCTTAAAACTATTTATTTGTGATTTACCAACTGAGTAGGTTAAGGTTTGTTCTTAAGTGAGAAAGATTTCTGTAAAACACGTCAAAGTGTAGTCACGGGATTTAGTAACGGGCCGTAATGTATCAGTGTGAGTGTGGTGTGAATGCAGTAGTTGATCAGTAATTGATTAAAGTAGTTCAGTGCGTAAAGAGCCTCGTCAAGTTTCGCAGGCTGGCGTACTTTGCAGAAGTACACTAACTTAAGTACACAATAAGGAGCCTTAGGGGACGTTTATAGTTATCTGGTGCGAAACTGCAAACTTTTACTATGTTGTCAGTCCTGTATAGTTACAGCTTCCAATTTTAGAATCAGCCTGCGAGCAGAGTCTCCTACGGCGTGTCTTCTTCCTGACTGAGGAGGAGGAGGAGTAAAGGTTTCTCTGCATGACTCGCGTCAAGCCACTGAGGTTGCGGGCCGCACCTGAACTGGTCAGTCCTATTTTCTTTTGCCAAACTGGTATTTCGGGAGCGAGTTAGTCCATTTATTGATGGATATCATAACTGAGCCCAATGTACAAAACGCACGGCTACTAGGCCTGAATTGGAAACTGCAACTTAGCAATATGCAGCGTATGCTCAAAAAGATCTAACTCCATTAATTCATGGAGAGTCTTTTTCTAGCGTACGTCGATTTTGAGGAAGTGAAAGAAAGACTCTTTTGGCAGCGGGGTGTATTAGATTCATTAGCAAGAATACCAATAAATTCATTGATACTCACATGTAACAGTGCTACAATCCAGTAAGCCCATCTGACATGCGTATCGCGATGCATTTCTTCTTGGGTGTGGTATATCTGGGTGGAGTTGTCGATACCGGAAGTGGAGTTAGCATATGGCCACTCATCGATGATCGTCGTATAATTCACCACCATTACACATTTACGACGCAGGAACGGCCGCGCTATAAGCGGGCTCACGAAACCACCCACGCCGTAAGAGAAGTGTAGAGCCTAGGAACCAGAGTGAATTGAATAGTCAAGTTTCGAATTAAAAATTACCGCTGAATACAAACAATTACGCCGCATTCTTACGACGTAAAGTAAAATATTCAGAGATTCTGTCGAGTAAGTGTTCGAAATTTGACCATACACAATAGACAGTGTAATAAACAGGTCTTCTTCTCGTTGGAATATGTGAATATATAACTTCAGATGGAGGCTAAGCCTGTAAAAAATGCGTCTTCACGCGGTCATAGCGAACTCGAAACTCGAAACTGGACTATTACTAGGAACCTAAGATTCGACGACGGCGACGGTAACGGCAACGAGAACATCAAAAATGCAATAGGTTTGATCAGCAAGACACCAACTTTGCACGTGCAGGGCACCTTTTATATTCATTTCTTTACCGTCGCTGCAAGAATATAACGCAACATTTTATGGAGGACGTAAACAAGCCACGATGAAATTTTTTTTTCGCTTTCTAAACTTAGATATGGTTCTTAGGAATTTAACTCCAGGAGAATTCGGCTACATTTGTTAAAGTAGGTGAACTGGAAAAATCGCGATGAAGATTGAAAAAACGCGAATTCACTTTTCAAGCGACGTTTTCGCTGCCGTCGCCATCCTTGATTTTATGAACGTCAATAGTGTGATAGACAGAATCACTGTTTATGATTGGTATTTTGTTTAATTAGTGTTATTTTTCTTGTGCAATCTTACCTGTAAATAAGGGGAAACCTGCAAGCGAAAAAACAAAGTGTTAATAGGATGTAGGCACTTTCAGGGCAGGGTTGCGCAAAGCTGGGTTTAGGTAACGCAGGGTCAGGTCGAACGTTGAATTCAGACTGAAAAAGCTTAAAAAGCAAATTCAGTTTAATTCTTAAGATTAGACGCTCTTAAAAGATAAGGAAATTATCCGAGTCAATGCTTTTGAAAAAAAGAAGAGAATAACGGATTAAAATTCACACGCCGCCGGGTTAGGCCTAATCGGCCTTCGAACAACCGGCCCACTAAAATATAGATTAAAAGATTACCATAACAATTGTAAGCCCAAACAAATTCTTTAAATTACATTATTTGTTTTATGCTCTGACCTGCTTGCCGTACATACGTATAAGTTGAACAGTCGTGAACGTATCTGTGGCTCCAAAACATCCTCCAAATATTCCCGCCAAAAACAGCAAAATGACGAAGATCCGGCTAAGCGGAATGGCAATGATGCATATGGCACTCAGACCAAGAGCTATCGTCACCAGCACATTTGGATTGAAACTGGTGGAAAAACAGCAACTGATGTAAACTTTTTTTTCGTAAGAGGGCAGATTTTTTGGGGGGGGGGGGGTGGGGGGGCGAATGATATTGATTTGGAAAGGAAATAAGCAACCTTTCTCCAAGGGATCCCTCCTACCCGTCGATATGGAGCAAGAACCTGAGAATGAGGTCCGCTAATCGGCTCAGGGACATATTTGTTGTGGTGATGGGCTATCTGGCATTTATCTACCAACTAAGGGTACCTTCCGGCAAGTGCCAACGAGGCGAATTCGTTTATCTTTTGTGGAATGTGCCTATTCAGATCTTCGCGATAAGTTTTTTTTTTTCATAATTTTAGAGGTTTAAAATGGATTCCGCTATAGAAAAGGATGGTACCCAACTGAAAAACAACAACTTTGGTACACTCTAGGCTTTCACTTTTATTAAACAATAACAACATGGCTGGAAGCTTTGTTGGTAAATATGGGCAAGTTAGCTCTTATGTTTCATGGAAAATTCCATTGTATCAAAACTATAAACGTTAGAAAGAAAAATATAGTTCAAATGAGGCCTTTGACTGCTGAAATTTAAAACTAATAATTAAATTCCGAGCAACAGCGTCATCAGGGATAAGAAAAATATTTCGCGTAGTAATATACATAAGAAAAAATTGGTGCAAAGTAAAATGTGTGAAAAGCGCAAGAATGGGGCGGAATGTATCAGAGGTATAAAAATATAAACTTGAATAAAATACAAACATCTAATGAGCGAGTGTCACAGGACAAAGATTCTCTTGAAAGGCATAATGATAGTCTTCAGAACAAAAGGACGGCAAGTTCGTTGTATTCCTCCCGGGCGTTTTGGGCTGTCTCAATATAAATGTAAATCGAGCAGAAAAAAAACCTGCTGGTTGACAAAATCTAAAGACATGAATAAATTCTAAAAAAGGTCCGCAAATACGTTGCATTCCTCACAGGAGGTGAGGACTGGCTCAATGTAAATCGACCTGCGAAGAACACGCTAGTTCTGAGATAAGTTTTGAGAATAAAACCTTCTATGCCTTGATAAACTACCGCTTAAAATTTGATTCAGAAAGGAAGAGAACACGGAAAACCCTGGTTCTGAGTCGAGAAGCGAACACGCTACCTCATTGTAAATGGAGCTGCAAAGAACAAGCTGGTTTTGACAAAAATTTGAGCATAAAACCCTATTCCTTGATCAGCTGCTGCTTTAAACGCAATTTATAAAGTAAAACAGAGCACTATTAAATAGCCCTCTCAAATTAGAAATCGTATTAAAGATTTCTCACCTGTTAGGGCCTCTTGAACAAACAACGAAGAGCTGCACACTGAATCATCCAATTTCGGACCACGCGTTGTAAATTAAATACAAGACCATGACGTCACTACCCAAATATGGGGTCTTACTTACACCCAAATATGGAAAAAATGCAAATTTTGGAGGGCTACGCAGAATTTGAGGGTTTTTGCCTACATTTCGAAGCGTTATAATTCTGCCGCCGAGTCAATCTCGCTTCTTAGCTCGGTTGCCTCGTTGGCAATTATTCTCTTCATATTTTCATTTTTAACAACCCTCAAATTTATTATTTCCAAATTTTCCAAACTTTTAAACACCCCCTCTAATTTTTATACATGAAAAACATTCGAAACCTCATCCAAAAATTCTCAAAAAATATTGAACAAGGAATGCAACTTAATTGAGTCATTTTTTGATTGAAGGAAATCTTAGCTAAAATTTAAGTAAAAGGGCAGAAATAAATTCGACAAACAATGCTTTTGACTAGTCATCTGGCTGCGACCATTGTTCCTTACAAAAACGTAACGTCATAATAGTTCAATATGCCGGCACGTAAGAAATTTAAAAGCGAAAGTCCTCGAAATTCATGGCCATTTTCTGGTAGATTTCAAACTTTCTTTCCAGATGATTTCTCAGGAAAAGAATTGAAATTTAGAATGCATTAGAAGTAGACAATAACACAGGAAAGTACTGCAAGAGGACTTATTAAAAATGGTTACACTTTAGGGGTTCAAAAAGTAAGAACCACCTTGTGCAGCATGATAAACAGCACCTGAAGAAAATACTACTCAGTAGCTTTCATTTGAATGGCTACATTTGAGTATCTTATCGGTAGACTCAAAAGTTAGAACCACCTTGTACAGCATAATAAACAGCACCTGAGCAAAATACTACTCAATAGCTTTCATTTGAATGGTTACAGTTAAGTATCTTATCGGCAGACTCAAAAGTCAGAACAAGCTTGTACAGCATAATGAACAGTACCACAGGAAAGTACTGCTCAGTAGCTTTCATTTGAATGGTTACAGTTAAGTATCTTATCCGCAGATTCAAAAGTGAGAACCACCATATTTGTCAAGCATAATAAACAGTACCACAGGAAAGTACTGTTCAATAGCTTTCATCATGAATGGTGCGGCACACTTTAGAATTTCCAATCCACTGACTCAAAACCAAGAATCACCTTGTACAAAGACATGAACAGCATCACAAGAAAGTATCTGAATGGTAACACTAAGGGATTTTTCATTTAGACTTAAATGCTGGGACCACCGTATATAGAATGATTAACAGTACCAAAGGAAAAGTGCTATTCAGTAGCGTTCCTTTGGTGAGACAATTCTCAACACGTTTGCTACTTAATGCGCAGGTCACTAGACGTGTTCAGATGGCAATGAAACTACGTCAAACGGAAGCCATTATGTAACTGAGAAATTTGCTTAGAAAATTGAGAAAAAATTCAACAATTTCCCGAAAATTTGTTATATTAGTTTGTTTGCCATTGAGGTTTAGCAAGTGAAAATTATTTTTCGTCGTACAATGTAGCTTTTGTTCCTAATGTAGTATGCAGTTCCGTAAATCATTAATTTTTAATTAAGATAAATAATTTTTTGGGAAAAAAGACTTGATCCCAACGCTGGTTTTTCTTTTCCCCCTAATTAAAGGAAAATATAGACGATTTTGTGCGAAGAAAATTTTCAAATTAGCTGTGCGGTTTGACTAGGTGATATTGGGGAGAAAAGACGATAATTTTTATACATTTTCCCATTAGCTTTCTCCCGCTATATCGCTGCCTCATTATATTTTCACACAAAGAAAAGAAAACCTTGTTTCAAATTGTTAATTATTAAGTGTTTATTCCGAGTGAAAATTTTCATAGCAGTGATTCTTTATTTTTAAATAAAGTTCATCCGAGCAAATTTCCTTGTTTCATTAACGGTGAAAAGAAAACGAAGCGATGTCGTAAATCTTATTTATGCGTTATATCTGACAACACTCCGTTTTCTATATATTCAACTGTTCATTGTAACTAATATTCTATTTTTGGAAAGCATTGAAAAAAAAACTTAGGGTAAATCAAATTCACGCAGATAAACCTGTGGGGAAAGATCGTTGATTTATTTTGTCTTGGCAAAATCAGTTAGGCACCGTGATTTCAAAAACTACAAATACAAATTTTAGCCATAAAGATAGATTAGATATTGCAATTTTTACGAGGAAAGGAAGCTACTTCAGTTTTAATCTTAACACAAAATTTTGACATTCCTATTCCAATTCGAGTTCATTTTCATTTGAAAACTGATAAGTTCGTGCTGGGTTAAATATACGACAAGCACAATTTCTAAACAACTACATTTAGGTAATTTTTTTTTCTGTAGCCAGAATACTTTAACTACACTTAATTTGGAAGAACCTTTACTCATCGCGTCCCAGAATAATTTGACGCACAAAAGATAAGAACTCATAGGCATCGAGATTAGTTGGAACTTTGATCAAAATGCCACTTATCGTTTTTGTATGCACTTGATGCAGTTAGCTTTAGCAAGACGTAACTAACTGTCAGGGACTTTGATTGGTAGTGACTAAAGTACATGCTAATAAATACTGTCATTGTCAAGCTCTTGAACGAATTTTTTTATGTGTATGTGTGATTTTTGCGGAGTGTAATGTCAAACTATTTTCTTTCTTGATTTTCCTTCTTCGACGACCCACTGGTCCTCAGTGATTCCCATAATTTTTTGAAGTCTCTCTTACCAACTCTTTGTCTTCCTTGACAAAGCTCGGTTGTACAACAAAAGAAAAAAAAAATTCGCTACTTACCGATCAACTAGATAACCACCAGAAGTTGATCCGAAGACGTTACACAAATCATGCACAAAAAACAGCACGCTCATAACAGTTATAGACTTCCCGGTCAGGCATTTAAGCTCCAGTAATGTAGGGCCCAGTATCTCGTCTGACATTCCAAAGACCATGAACACACCGCAGTAGCAAATTGTAGATTTGAGACTGTTTCTGTCTTCTCCGAGTTTTTTCAAAGTGTTTAGGAAACGTTTCCACAATGGAAGATCCTTATCTTTGTCGAACGTACGACGTTCGACATCCTCCATGTTAAAAAGTGGTTCTTCTTCATCAGATGAAGAATCAAAGCCCACACTCATGTTGCTAATGAAATTCTCTTGAAGTACGCTCTCGATGTTTGTTTTGATGCGAAGTGAGGCTCTCCGTCCGTTGAAACAAGTTCCAAATACTTGAAAATTCTTTAAAACATACTGAATTCCATAACGTCGATGTCGACAAGCTCCGATATTAAAAGGACGCAAAGTTCGAGCTATTCGATCCTAAATTTTTTTCTCCTTTTCTTTTTCGTTTGCAATTTTTACCAGTCTAACCAGCGCTGAATAAAGTTAATAAGAGATCATGGAACTATTTTCAATAGGAACTGAATAACCTTGACGTAAAATTATATTGTGTTTTGATTTCCTTCGAGTGACCGAAATTCGAGTGCAGCAACAATTGAACTTATGGAGTATTTTGGGTGAATTCGTCACTGTAACAATTCATAAACAATTGTTCTCTCATGGAATTTGACTTGTTGTGGCCTTAAAAACAAGACAACAAAGCTATATCCGCTTCGTGTTAACACTTGAACACGAACCACCTCACACCCATTCTCAAAACTTTGAAATCTTTCTACCCTGATTGCAACATTTCACCTGTCACAAAAATGTTTTCGTTTTTCTCGTGCTAATTTATTCATCGCGGCTTTGAAAACAATTTTGATTAAATCACTAACCTGACGGCCAATCACGTTCGCGACAAAAACTTAACGATTACAAATTACATTTGGGTTGTTGAAAGAACACTCTTTATTTGTAACAACTTCTTCAAGATTTCATTACGATGGGGTTACAACCTAGAGTTATGCACTCTTATATTTTACGCTCTTAAAACTTTTTGATTAATAATTCAAAGCCATCATATTTCAAGTCTGAATTTAGATTTTATCTTTTTTATGCGTTTTCTGGTTCGTTTTTTCTTGACCAGAGGAATTTGAATCCGCTTTAAAAGCTGTCTGAGAGATTATAATTATCTTTGCTTTTGTCGCGATATGCATCTTTTCACCGTATATATGTATTTAAGGCCACTTACTATGAAGAGTTTCCAAGTACGCATTAATACCTTTGTAATAAGTTTATTTTATTAAGAACCTTTTTCTTTTATTAGTAAAATTTGAACAAAATAATTCCACGTGTAATGACTATTTGGGATACCGGTATTTTATTTTAAAACATACTCAAAGAGACCCGAACGCCCTAAGGGGGTGGGTAGGATCGAGTCAGTTGAACCTCTCCCCCCCCCTCCATCAGCTTGCGTTTTTGGGGTGGTGCAATATTTTGAAAACACTAGGAGTTCAAGAGATAGCCTGTGTTCAGCTCTACAATAAGGGAAAATATTATGGGATATGGCTGGGCCTGGCACCTAATTGATTCAAAAAGGCCGCCATGCTGGCCTCCATCTTTGGTTTTACAGAAAGTTCAGTTTTATCCAAACAGAGTAGAAATATAGCATTCCTAGAACTTAAGGGTTAAAACATGTTATTACAATCGAGTATTTTACTTCCCGTGCTACTTTTTAAACAATTTTTCCCCCAAAATTGCGAAAAAAAGTCGAATTTTGGTTGACTGATTAATGCGTTGAACGCTATCGGACGTCATATCCCGTAACTGCATCAAATTTGGCTTAAATGTGTCTAAGAAGCAAGTAAACAACGGCGGAAGCGAAAAGGTTCTGACAAGAAATCATTTTAGAAAAAAAATTCAGAAAACCTTTGGGTCAGATGGCTTACTTCAAGTAACCTCCGATGGTTGAAACACCCAGCCGAATTATAACGAAACAGGAACTTTTCGGTATAGTTACGGTTTTAATCTGCTAAAAATATATTTTTAAGAAACTATTACTGCAGCTATCATAACTGGGGTAGAATAGTTATAAGTGACAGCTAACAATGTATTAGTTGTTAAAACCCTCTGGTAGGATTCCCTGCACGTTTCGTTGGTACCTGACTTAAAATGAGCACTCTAACCTCTTAATTGCAATACAGTTATGTAAGAAACTGGTTTTTAAGAAGTAAACCTGTTAGGCTAAAATTTGCCAATTGGGCCCCCTCTAAATACAAGCAGAACCTGTTTAGCCTAAAAATTTCAAACAGGTTCTTATTTTCTAAAATCTATATAAAAAAATTCTTTACAATTGGGCAAGTGAGGTAAGTCAACAATCAGGATTATCTTTGGCGACATAGGTGCCTTATCACTCCAACAGCAATGGTATGCAAATTTTATATAAGGAATAAGCTAAATACTACTAAATGCTCTTAGGCACGATGTATTTATTTCTTCAGAACATAAGAACTTACAAATAGCCTAAATTTGGGCTAATTATCATTTATGTTATTGTAAGAAACTACTGAGGAAAATGTAGGTTCTTAGTCGCGCGGGTTTTTTTTCTGTATGAGAACATTCGTGTAGCCGGAGCCCGGATCAAAGCATTTTCCCATAGGTGAACTGTGGTAAATTCCAGCAACCTTTCCTCTTGGCTATGTACTAATATATATATTTAGGCGAAATTGATAAAATAATATAGTGGAATTTGCTGCTATGACACAGTTTCAAACATAGCGGTTATTATGTGGATAGCTAGGAAACTATTCACTTAGAAACTATGCAACTGATCGTTTTAAAAGTATTTTAAATAGAAACTGGTAACTATCTGCGCCTCGCCTTATTTTTTCCTAAAAATTTACTGGTTTTCAACTCTTTGATGACGTAAAAAACTAGTGCAAAAAAGTACGGAAATTTAGTTATTGCATACCCCAGTTTCGTTCAAAGCCTATCGCCATATAATAGGAAAAATATGTGAAGCAATGTTCACTATTTTCGGACCACTCACCTGAAAATTCCAGCATAGAAAATAGAAAAATTTTTAATCAGTAGCGGTAGTCGTTTTAGGTATAATTTGAAAATTTATAAAAGCCCGGCGGCCTGAAAACTTCTCAACAGAATTTTCGGCGAAACTGTTTATCGATTGCGGGATGATCTGTTAAATACGATTGCTCCGTACGACGCTTTGATAAATCACCCAAACCTTGGTACGTTCAAGGTCCTGCTATAAGGTTATTCTGTGGCCGCCTTGAAAAAACAGACATGCAATGTAGCAAAATATGAGGCTCTTGCTTTGGTCAGTTCTGGTTAAACTCGAGCAGGGCCTCGGTAAAATTCCATCGTCCTCTGTTAGGACAAACCGTTTCACCTGTCTCCTTTCTTTCCCAGAGCAAAAGATTGTTACTAAACAGAGATCTGATATTCAGATTTTTAGACTTCCTGTCAAAGTTGTTTGGATATAAATTAAACATTCCATGCCATCATGCCAGTTTTCACGAGTTACTGTCTTGAAATGATTCTCAGCAAGAAGACATGAAGACCGGAAGTTGTGCAGTCGATATAAATGTGCATGAACGCATAACAATAACTAATTTATTATTTCAGGTCCATTTCATCAGCCTTTCATTATTCAAATGAATTTTAAAGTCAATAAAGCGTTCTTATCAAAATGCTTTGAACTTAAATAAGAGCGAAATGTTTAATTACATGCCCCATCAATTTTCAGTACGCGAAAAGTCATAAAAAGAAAATGTGATCAAATGAACCATACTAAACTATATTTTTCTGTTGTCGTGAAAAGTAATCACATCTTCAACTTAAAATTTAAGTTCAAATTAAAAAAAATGGATGGACGCTCTGAATTTGCGATTTGTATTCTAACAAATGTCAGTTACTTTTAAGTTGAATTTGTAATAATTGCGCTGAAACTGACGAAGCGAATTTCTAAAAAAAAATCTTATATTAATATGTTCCGGCGCACGATAAGGAAAGCCAGTTTCGATTATGGTAATTTTTATTTAAGTAAAACAACTTGACTGACACCAGTTAAATTCCTCTACGATTTCTTTCTCCAAACTTGGTAATTATTTATTGGCATGACTCAGTGCTAAGAATGTACTGAATCACTTGATTGCCACACATTGCAAACAATGGATGTGGGTCCGTCGGAGAATGTTTCAGCGCTTCAATGATATATTTAGTTTTCAAAAACTTCCGTATTTTTTGTTACCACGACTACTAAAATGAACATGCAGAGAATCGTTGTACATGTTTTTCAAAGAATTGTAGAAAAGGTGGGATTAAATTTTAACACATTTAATTTGTTTCAAAACCTTGTCTTTAAAAAAGGAAAATTTTAAAAAGGTAAGAAGGAAAAATATAGCAAAAAAAAACAAGTATAAAACTACTCTGCTTGCATATAGTTTCATAACTCCAAAATGATAAAGTTTCTCACGCATCTCAACGTCGTTTCATGATCTTATTCAGTTAAGACTTTATCCCCAAAAAAGCGATAACAAAAATCGCTCCCGACCATCTTGTTTTTTTTTTGTTTTGTTTTGTTTTTTTAATATATCACATGGTAGAGAGTGTTTTTCGAATTGCGGAAATTTCATGCATGTCCATTGTACTCCGAATGATTTGATCTGAACGTCACGCAGCTGAAAGAGGCGCTAAATTATAGGAGAACAACCAACTCTACAGTTGAAAACATCAACACAGGAACAAGACCGGGTCAGCAAGTTTAAATTTGGTTCTTAGTGAACTGTGCACTTTTAGATTTAATGTATAGAATAATGAAGAGGACCACAGGTCAACTTAAAATAAACAAAGTACAGTTGATGAAAATTGGTTTTGTGAGGAAAAATGAAGTTTCGGCCATAAAGTCTGCGGACCGCCCTGTTAGAAAAGAAAAACTCGGTTCACAAACTGAGTTTCTCTCTCCTGAACCACATAGAAGAGAAAGTTTATTTGTAGAACGTGTTGGATGTGATTATTTAAGTCTAGTATCCGTTCGGTCCGCTTTAAAATACGTGACTTCCTTGCTCACTATATAGTGTTTCAGCTGTAAGTTAACTAATAATTAAAAGTTTAATTGCGGTAGGCAATAAGTTCAATAAGGAGTTTCGCGGACTAAAAGGGATCTAAAATAAGTTCTAATAATTGATGAATCTCAAATTCAACACCTTATACGTTCAGATGTGAAATTCCGCTTAATCCTG